AAAAATAATTCGAAGTACGATTAGGGGAATTCTTAGGGGAAAAAAAGTTATATTTATTTGGTTTTTGTTCTAAAAATAGTTAAATTTTGTTGTACAATCTAATCAATAAATCTTTCTTTTATGTTCTGTCCTGAAAGTATCCTTATACATATTTTTAAAAACATAATATTATGCCAAACTTTTATTATTGTTAATATCTTTATAATTTATAACACACAAAAATAATTAAATGCTTGTAAAATGTTGTATGCACTATGTTTCCATATTGAATACAATCTCTTTGTCAATACTGCCTAAGTATGCCTTGCTCGTTTTATACTTTATAAATATACTGCGATTTAAATACATACTTATTTTTATTATCTAATCAAAAAGTAAATAGTACCCGTATTATACACTCGATTATTTTTTCGGTGGACTTGAAGGCATTTCGAGGGGGAAGGGTCAAGAGGATGCTTTCCTAATCCCTATTTGCGCTACCACATGCGAGGTATTCAGGTATAGCCTAGTAGCAAGTTAAAATAGGGAATAAGAGGATGTTAAACAGCTGTTTGTTTTTAATAAAACATACAACTTGCACAGTTTTACCGTTATACTTATTATAAAACAGTTACTCTCACAGAAAAAGACTATACTCTCCACCCCAATCTATTCACTACTTCCTCCTATCTACCCCATGTTACACCTACACGATGTAGGCTTTATTATAGACATGCATTTAGCTGACATCTATATTGGCAAATCGATGCTCGGTGCTCCCCTTTTGCCTTTTGAAAGTCGCGTAAGCGCATGTCGCAAAATTATTTTTTTAGCGTTCTATTCTGCCATGTGGGTATCTGTGAAGTAATTAGATACCCATATCTTATACTTTCCCAGTGGTATATATGGTCAATAAACATGCAGTGTGGTCCCTCCCCCTAATTTATTGCCTTGGTAGCGCCGAATCAGTGACGGCCGACCGCCGACGGGATGGGAGTCGCTTTCGACATTGGCGTGGGTATTGTGGACAAGTGGAAATCCTCAAAAGCACAGACTTCACTAATGCCACCTATCGGGTGGCCTATGAATTAATGTGATAAAACCAACAAATCGTTGTTTTATCTGAATTATTAATAAACGGATAATAATTGATCAATAGAACCAATTACAAAATAGATATAAGATTGATGGATATTATTTTAACTGAATTTGTTTGTTCGATAATCTTACCCCCTCAAGTTCTTAGTTCCTCTAGTTCACCGAACTAAACGCAGTAAACACATTCCTCAAAACATTTTAATTAGGTAACTATCCTATTGGTTATTGGATATTGCTCAATTAGATAGTTCAAGTTTTTTTAGTACATAAGTCATGTCATAAGTGCAAAATTTACTAGGCATAAATATCTGAGAAGAATCGTGTAGTGTTTTGACTAGATTATTTTATTTAGACTTTCAATTAAAATAATATAAAAACTCGAGTAACATATAAAATAACTAATAAGACGTAAAAAGCACAACTTCTATTAAGCCAGATTAAGCCCACCCCCCTCGGCTTAGCAACTACTCCCTAAACAAATTTTAGTTTATAGTGTTATTCTCTAAATGTCAATAATAATGTACAACGTAATTTAACGTTTTTTTTTTTTGGAACATGAAATAAAATACATCTATATATACCATTATATTAATCAAATATTTCTTATTATTATATATTGAACTTAAGTAGTTCAAGCAAATCGTGATAGGTATTTCTTTACAACGAGACGTAAATAGCTGCAAACTAAAGGTTTAAATAAGAATAGGTTTAGCAATTTAAATATAAATTTTAATATCAAATAGTAAGTCCAGTGACGCACAAAATAGTATGCATTTAAATTCCACTACCGACAAATTATTTTCAAACCTTTATTCTTTAAACTATCTTTTTACCAGAAATTAAGTCAATATAATTTATTCAAGCTAAATTAACTTTAAAATACTTAGGACCGCACGTGACTTTTGAGACATACGCAATGTAGTACAAAAACAGTAAATATGTAAAATGAGTAAGAAAATAAATTGTAATATCTGAACAAATAATACAGTACCTACAATTTTATTAACTAGCATAAGATATTTGGGTATAATAAATTATATTATACCTATATAGTATGTGTATATATATATATATATATCTAAAATATTATTATATATCATAGATATAATATATAGAATTGTATCTTTCCTCCTTATAAAAAATAAACACAAAAAACTACAAAATTGCAATTGTTTTTAGAGAAATAAGTTTTACATAAAATTAATAACCACCCTAACCCTTGTAACATACACATTAATTATTATATTAAACGTTAGTACATCTGACGTCACGCGTACTATATTTGAATTTTGCATAGGTATCACTTTTTTTTTACACTAAATGGGTACTTATTAAAATGGAACCTTGATTTTTTTATCTTAAACCGTTTATGAGTATTGAGGTATGATTTTTTAAGAATTTGTTAAAAATACTTAACACTAAAAATGATGTTACAAAACTTAAAATAAGGACTTGCCTTAGGGCGGAAAGTGGCTGCCGGCTTTAATTAATGATATGTCAATTTTATTAAAATGACGGTGAAGGGGGTAAATGCAATTTCAGAGAATTGCTAAAAGCGGTTGTCCTGGGATACTTATAATGCGGTTAGCACGACACTGTTTACAAGGCGTCTAACTTCATTTTCGTCAAACATTGACATTGGCTCTTTTAGATCCCAAGACCTAACCTAACCTAACAAATACGTAAAATATACATATATTTGTTTAATCCCTGCGGTGGCATAAACTCAGCAGAGCACCTGCGCACTCCCATAAAATGTGTAAAGGGGCCTCTAAAAACATACTATTTTGCACCTTCTGGAAAATTTACTTTTACATTACGTAGGTAAGTACTAAATTTATAAAAACTGTGAAATAGACCCGGCCATAACTTTTATTCTCGGAGGCTGTCAAATCGGGTTTGTACAAGTTGAAATTCTGCGATATTAGGCCTATGAATGTTCAGGGATATGCAATAATAATTTGTTTATATTGGGTATTTTATTCTTAATTGAAGATGCGTAGCGTATATGGGTTTTCACTAAATGTTAAATTTTCATACCTATAAAACCGTTTTTTTTCATCGGTTAGGGCGGTTTATCAGTTGTGTGTGTATAATATATATATATATACATAACGTAAAATATATATACACACCCTATACAATGTATATGCGGTTACTGGGGGTAGTTTTGAACTTCAATATGAATGAATATTTGCGATAAACAAAAAACGAACGATACGCTTTTCGCTTGACAACCGAAAACCGAACGATGGAGTGACGGGATGGTTAGAGGGGAGGGTTTGACGTCAATCGATTGTGTATGTGGTGTGTGCGGGTGATTATTTAGTGTACATAATTTAATAATAAAATAATCAATGAACACCGCCACCGGCTACCGCGGTCCTATCGATAACGGACGACGGGGAAAATATCGCCAATTCGGAAGCGTCATCGCAGGCTGCGGGTCGGCCGGCGGCGGCGGCGATCGGCCGTTATCACCGGCCAATGGAAAGCCGCGAAAAAAATGCACGGATAGAAAACAAACGTGAACGGCGTGGCGGGCGGTGGCGGCGGCAGCAGAGGACGCCGAAATTGCAATTCCGTACAATTGACAGCACTGACACAAATCAATTAAACCCGTACGGCGTAACGACGTTCGACGACGAGTTGAATGGATTCTGAGCCACCTTCCGTCGGACGTTTACTTTTTTACCGTATTTTTTCAAAGTCGCCAGATTCGTTATGGAATAATAATATTGCCAGTTTGCCGAAATCCGGCAAATCATCTCCTCTCGACCTATTCTCTCTGCAGAAATCGGGGAAATTAGAAATAGGGACGAATAAATCTAATATAAACGCGGCCCAATACAGAATAGACGTATATCGATGCCACTACAGTCTACACAGTCATCCTCCATATAATTTTATATTATGTTCCGAGTGCAGATAATTTTCATAAAAGGGACGAGACGCGAGCTAATAGCAATTGCAAACGACGGGTGATTGAGGAAGCCGGCACGGGAGGGGTGAAGAGGGGTTGTTAGCCCGGCGTACACACAGAGGAACCGGCAACGATAATATTTAATACAACAGAGTATTACGAGTGTCGTTGGGGCCGGCGAGACACCGTCGTGTGTAAAAACACGATTGTGGTCAGAAACGACGGCGGCGACGATATACCGTAGTATTATATTATTATTTTATATATACATATATATATATAGATTATATGTGTGTTATTGGTCAAATGATTGTCCCGCAACCAGCTGACCTAACGGCGTCCGCCATTGGCCCGCGTCCCCGAGCCGCCGTCGTTGTAACCGGCCGACGACGACCAATCATTCGGGCCGTTACACGAGTCGCCCGCACCGCCGTTGCTGTCCAAGATACAATGTTGACGTGTGTGTGTGTTTCTCCCCCTCTGGCCGCTAACGCGGATATACCGTCGCACACGTTTCCCCTTTCGCTAACCGTAGGGCGCGCGCGGGGCGAGACGGTGACCGGAACGCACGCGTGCGGGCAAACCTCACGATCACGACGACGGCGGACGGACGCAACGACGACGACGAACCGTGCCGATCGTCTATGTGAATGTGTGTATAGAGCGCGTGCGTGTGTATGTGTGTGTGAATTGCCCGAGGATTATATTATTGTGGTGGAAATGAAAATATAAATGAATGATAATAAAATATATTATCGAGAAAAAAAATCGAGACAAGAAAATTTAACGAAAAATCAAAATTAATTAGATAGTTAAAATTCATCATATATTTATATATGTACACATAGAGTATTATTATTATATATAATATAATTTCATATAATAATAATAATATTATAGTCGTTTGGTGTTATTTTATTCGCTTCCCTTCTCTCGCTCTCTCTCTCTCCAAACTCATTCTCACGCACACACCTCTCTCACTCACTCTCGTCGTCGCCTCCGCCACAGTCGTCCGTCGTGCAGCACCGCGGTACGAGTCTGAAGTAGATACCGCCGCCGCCGCCGCCGACGTACCGATTTTCCGTTCGTTTACACCGCCGTCGCCGCCGTACAAGTCTGTGTGCGAGTGCGTCGTGTATAGTTGTGTACGTGTGTGTGTGTGTGTGTGCGTGTATGTGTGTACGCGCTGATTATAGAAGATTGTTGTTAAAATATTGAAAAAAAAAGAAGAAATCGTATTTACACTTATCAACGCGAACAAATAAATATTATAGAGCAACGCCGCCGCGACGATATAATATTATCATATTCGCACAAATAACATAATATAACGCTATATTTACATGTATATAATATACAATAACACACTCGCACGATATCATCGTTTTGTGTGTATATAACATAATTTATATTTATATATACAACGAAATAACATGACGTATCGTTTTACCCCGTGCAACAGAAGAAGAATAAGCAGCAGCCGCCGTTATTCCGGTAAAAGTGTCGTGGCCGTCGACGCCGCCGCCGCCGCCGCTGCAGTCGCGTTTACGTGAACCGCAAATTTGTATTTATATTGTTTTTCGCGTGTGATAATAACTATTGTATGTGGTCATCGTCCGGCAACGGCACGCAGAAATCGCAGCTGCCCCGCACAAAGCAGAGAACCGAACGACCGTCATCGTTTTATTATTATTTTTTCCCTATTCGTTTTTTACATTAATTGTTTTTATTATTATTATCAATTTGCACGCCGACGATATGACGTGATCGCCAAATGATACAACCGCTACCGGTAAGTCGGCCGATTTTCGGTCTTGCGTTTATTATTATTATTATAACAATAGAGCTCATTATCATTATTGTTGTTATTAGTATTAGTATTAGTATGTGCACCTATAAAATAATAACCATCATTGGCAAGTGCTACCCGTTTTGTTGTAGACGCGCATAGCATCCCCCCCGTTTCGTTATCGTCCGCGCGTTCTCTGAAATCGCCGACGACGACGCCGCCGCCGCCTCCATCACAATTCATAGCTGTAATTAGTATTCGGAACGTTGGTTTGATCGTTTGTTTTTGTTTACATCCGACATTTACATATTTCAACAATTAGCAATATCGCAATAGGCGTTATATTACATGGGGTTGCTCGGGACAGTGATAACGAACGCCATCGCCGTGAAGCGTCCTGACGTCGTCGCCGTCGCCGTTTTGGTGGCGGCGTGGTAGTGACTAGTGGCGGCGGCGGTGGTGGCGGTGCGTGTGCGGTTCCACGGTAGTTTGTTTATCAACGTTGGTGAGACACAACAATGTCGCAACGCAAGACGAGCCCTGTCCGTTTTGTAAACTATAGGTAAGACCCACCACGTTTATATATCGGTTTAAGTGCGATCGTGTTCGGTTTTAGTGTCCGAGGCATACACCCCCCCCCCCACCCAACCTTCTGTCTAGATGTTTTTGGAATTGTTCAATTTTCGAATACGGTTGATACTGCAGCCGATAATGATACAATTGCTAATGTTGTTATGCTAACAAGTATGTGGGTGGTAGTGGGTACACCATAATACACATTTTCACCCAGCCAAATTTGATGCCGCCCCAATGTCCATTGACGACCATCCTAATCATTATCATAAGCGATTTAGCACTACTCGATTTGTTTTAAGAATTTCATTTTCGTTATCGTCTCGAAGAATTAATATTGGTCACCCCGAACGTCGTTATACATATAAAATGTTTATTGTTTACATTCAATATATAAGTAATGTCTAAAGATGAGCCACACTCTTATAAAAATCGACCTAATAACAAAGTTTTTTGCTAATGACCTTTCTTATTTTGTTTCATAGTAATAGTAGCTATAGTTTTAGCTTCGTTGCAAAGCGAGAAGGTATTTAAACTATAGAAATAAACAGTAAATATAGGTTTATGTTCGATCTAAGTAATGATAGCATAATACTAGGTATACAAGTGCCAACCTTTTAGGGTTAAAATGAAATTAAAACCGGCAAAATTTTTTTTATTTTAACTGAATGTTCATTATTGAAAACGATAAATAAAAATGTACATTTCTGTTAAAATTAGTCCTTTTTTACAGTTTTACCAAATATTATGTTTTAGTTTTATATTATTACATAATATTATAAGTGTCCTATTCGAACTAATGTCTTACGAATAAATAAATAAATTTGAACTAATTAAATTTTACAATTAAAATTATACCATTAAAATGAAAATTTAAAACAATTTTGATAAATGAATTAAGTTGTAACTTATAGTTATTAAATTCACGTTGAAGAAAATTATGCGTTATTGTTATTGTTCACTTTTTAATCTTTTTAGTGTCTTGCACGTATGTTATGGAAACAAACTATTTTATTATATTTTTGCGTTTTTACATATTTAACTTTAATGTGACATATCACATGACAGTTGGTAATGAACATTTGAACAATAAAAATGTATGATTTATGTATAGTATCAATTAAAATTAAATACTAGATATTATTAATTAACAATTCGTTTAATTGAGATTTAAAATTTATATTAACTTACTTAAATTGTTTTGTCCAAATGCACAAACATATTTTAAGTATTTTTTAGAATTTTAGATTTGATGATTATTTTGTTCTACACTTATTAAACACATAGAATTAACCTAACAGTTGATATTTATAAATTATAAGCTTTAAATAAATATTATTAAATAAATAACACTTTAAAAAAAAAAATTATTTAGTGAATAACTAATGTTTAAAATATTTTACATTTTATTCTATTTTTGTGAATATAAATAGTTAAATACAAATAGTGAATATCAATAATTTAATTCAATAATACAGAGAAATAAATTTATAAAACATGTAGGTACAATAAATAATATTTCACATTAAATTTTGGTTCATCCAACCAGGTAAGGAGCTAATATAAACATTTGTGAAATGAAAATGATTTATACGACTTCAATACCTATTTATTTTTCTCATTAACGCTTTGATGTTTTCAACTTGTAACTAAACAAATAGTTGAAAATTCATTCAGATGTTCAAAAATGATAATTCTTTCGACTTAAGGTATTATATAGTAGAAAACAAAAAGCCTTACTTTATTCAATAAAGACTATATATTCAATTAAGTACTAGGTCCTAGTACTTAATTAAAGTACTAGGGCTATGAGCTAAAGTACTATAAAAATATATATAGTAACTAGGGCATCATTATTTTCGTTTTAATATAATTAAATGATTTCATTATCAATGTTTTTTCTATGCCTTGGTAGCGGTTGGAACTCGAGTCTGGTCTTCGGGTGTTACGTTTGAGAGGTTTTCAACTAATAAAGTATTACAAATGGAGAAATATTTTTTCAAATTGGTCATCTTATTATTATTTGTTTTTGGAGGTGACATTATAAGTCCCTAATTAGACTACTGAAATTGTAGTACAGCCAAATAGTGTTAGTTAAAAAGGTGTAGCTTTTTCTCAGATGGAAATAATTGATAGTCAAAGTATTATAACGTTATACTGAAGTTGTAGTAAAATAAATTTATTGAATTAAAATTTTTGATATTCTAATATTAGAGCATATTTGTCAACCTATTATGGGAACTTTTATTTAATTAGACATATAGTGATATAATTGAATTGATGTTATTATGTTAGAATTAGAAAATTAAATGTTAGGAATAAATTGACGTTGATGTGGTGTCTGATGTATGGAGGTTGAGTGGCTAAGTGGCGTAGTTGTTTGTCGCTCTCTGTTACTGGTTTGACAATCAATCACGGACGCTCAATTTGCTTGGCGAGAAATTGTCTCGTAAAAAAGAGCTCCAATTTCCCTCAGTGACCACCTAAATAGAGAATTCTTCAAGAAACCATCTCATGATCACAGTGTTGGGCCATCAGGCCTATTTAGCCTATTATATTATGATGATGAACCTTTAGAGGCATTAGCCTCTGACATACAATTATTCTTTATTTGATGTTCAATAAGAAAATTGTATGTTTTTTTTAGACATTTTGAGTAAAACTTTATAATAGTAGTCAAACAAAGAAAATGCTTCTGTATCTGAATTGTTTAGTGTTTACTTGTATGTCATGTTTCATATGGGTAATAAGTATCTATTCTACAAATATTAATATTTTTGATAACTTTTTCTATTTTATATATTTACTTATTATTCAATATTTATTATGACACTAAGCAAACATTTTGTAGTTGAAGTATGTCTAATGTAGACTTTTTTCTCTTGTTTTTTTTTTACAATAAGGGAGAAAAAGAGTTACTACTTTTTTTTTTTAATATGCATTTTTTTATATCTTATTTTTTTCTAATAATTTATTATATAATTCTTAACATAGTAATTAATTGTACTTGAGTTTACTTTTCTTGATTGAAATAAGGTTTGTGTTCAATGACAGGTCACTAAAATAGAATTATGCTATAAAAAGAATAGTTTCAATTTGTTTGTTGGTTATGTTTAAGATTAAAACAAAAAATTAAGAAAAAATTTTAATTGTTTGAGAATTTATTGGATTTGATGGAACAGAGATAGTTTTAAATCTTTTTAATGAAAAATTGTTTTATGTGGTTGGATTTATGGCTATTCTCACCATTATAGCTTTAAAATTAAGTATAGCTTAACAATACTAAAATTATTCGATATTCGTATATTAAGCCTAACTGGTTAAAACAATTATTAGAACATTTTTGTTAGTAAAAATAAAAATATATTTCATTATCTACCGTTATTAAACATTTTTATAAAGAACTTGCAACATTGATATATGATTTTGAACATCATTTTTATGTATATTTTAAAAGTCATTTTATAATTTTTTTATAGGCTTTTTTACCTTACAACGTAGATTAAAAAAAATATTAGCTTAAATTGCATCAGTTTCCTCCTTTATTTTCACAATACCTAAAACCTGTAATATAATTGTTAAGAACAGGTTAGGTAAAACAACCATTATTTTCTTTAGATTATTTTTGATTATAAGTAAGTAAATGCTGATAATAATAATGATCTATGTGATGCCATGCATAAAGCATTATCTTGATTGTTGGTTTTGTTCTATGAGATGTGCTATGAAATGAAAAATTTGTATTCATTATATAGTTTTTATTTATGTTGGTAATTAAAATCGCTTTACTATAAAGAGAAAAACTTGATGTGACAAGCTTACAATAAAGTAAATTTTGAAACTTTTTGCAGCCAAAAAAAAAAAAAACCAATCCTACTGAAATTTGTAATATAAATTTATTGTATTCATAAAAAAATATTTTTTTTTTTGATATTATGAAATTAAACCTAAGTATTGATTTTACCAGTGGCGGCTCGTGAGTAAAATAGTTGGTGGTGCATATTTATAAAATGTTATAAAACTTGATAGCACTCAATTACTTTTATCTTTTATTAATTTTAATTTTAATATTTCAAAACACATATAAACAAAACGGTAAACACACTAATACAATGTATAATTTTATTGCACTGGATTTAAACATCAAAAGACCATCAGGTATCTGCAGTAAAAAAAGTGAATACAAGTTACGATAAAAGAACAGCTTAATATATTTTTACGCTTGTACAATAAGTAATATTATTGTATACAGCAGTAATATTCCCATATATTTCTTGATAAAAATAGTATTGGCTGCAGTGGTCTGGGGAAGCGTTAACCGCTTTTATAAAATGACCACAACTCATAGTCTTACAATCAAGGCAAAGGCACCGCTGCAGCCGTTTGTACTTTATAAAATAAAAGCCTCGAGCACACAATGTCTGTGAACCAAAAGCCATGCCTAACACAACATATTTTGGGAGTAGTGGGAATGAAACTGCATTTCAAATATTATTACTATATCATATTAAGTAATTTTTGTTTACTTCAATTCTGTATTTTAACAAAAAAAAATGTTTAACTAATATTTTATATTTTACAATATTTTTAATATCATCTAAAAATGCTTTTCATAAATTAAAAGAAAATGTCTACAATAAGTTTTAATAGGTCAAATACTTTCTATTGTGTACGCCAGTTGGGGAAAAGAGATTTTGACAAAATTGCGATTAAATTTTAAAATAGGAAAAACTAATAGACAGTGTTATGTTATCACACTCATAATTTAATATGCTAAATAATGTTTCAAGGATATAATCTTTAAATTATTCTTTTTTAAATAATTAAAATTTTTTTTTTATACTAGGCAACCCTCTTGTAATGTAAATGTAAAATTTGAAATTTTATTAGGTACCTATAGTTATTTTTAATAGTTTCTTTACTATTAAATCTATAATGTTTCTATAATAATCGAAAATTATTACAAATATTCCTTATATTTTTTTAAATTTTTTTTGAACAAAGGCAGAGTCAAAAAACTTATGGGCATTACACATTTGACATATTATTTGTCATTAGAACATTTATGTTTTATGAAATACTTCACACATCAAAATCAATTAGACATTTAAAATTCCTAATTCAACTTATTACAATGAAAATGTGTAGTTTTTTTTTCATTTAATAGGTATATTTAGTTTTTATTAGAAGACGTGACACCTAGCAAATCGGACACTATCCATTTTATAGCCAAGTTTTTTGAAAAATATCACATGACCCTATTTAAAGTATTTTTATTCTCAGTATTTAGATTATTTTATATGTAATTAAATATTAATTACATAGTTAGATATTTACGTATTGCCTTAATAATAAAATTTAAAAAAATGATTAAGTACCATTTATTTATTTTAAACTTTTATGCTAGAAGAGGAAAAGTTATTTCACTTATGTGCATGGATGTAGTCGTAAGCGTATAACTTTTACCCTTTTAGCATATTCCACTAATACATCATCTTTTATGTTCAGATAGACTATGTAAGAATTACAAACAAAACTCAAAATTAGGCAACTGATATATGGTTATAAAATACTTAAATTGTTGTTTATTAGGTATTATTATTTAAAATTAAATTAAAATATGTATGATTTTTAAAAACTCAATTTAACATTATACTACTATTAGAGCTATAGAATACCCAGTACATTTTCCCTTGATTTACTGAATAAAATTTAAATAGGGAATATTTTTAAAACTAGTTTGTTTATGCAACATTTTTAAAATAAAAATTATTGTTTAATAGTAACAAATATATGTATTTTTGTATGCTACAGGAAGTGTAAATTCGAATTGTGCAAACGCTTTGCAGTCGAACAATGTCAGACGGCGACACAAATGAAGATCTGCTAAAAAGCAGTAGTTAGTCAGGTTTGAGACTATGGATTCATATGAGCTGTTTGGAGAGGATGTGGGTGGAAATATGTTGGAAGGCTTACCTGAATTGGGAGGAGATAATTTTACAGATGTGGCAGGTCGTGGCAATCAACCTCCTCCGAATGCCGGTTATGCACAATCGCAGCCGTATCAGATGCCTGGAGAAATGCACGGCCATCAAGTGGAATCTCCATTACAAAAACTTGCATCTTTTGGACCACCAGGAAATGGAGGACCAGGTGCACCTGATTACAACTCTGGTAATCACATGGATCATTTCCATTCTAATCATTCTGGGTCTGCATATGGTTCAAGTAGGATGCCTTCAGGTCTCAGACCTAATTTAGGGCAATCTGGACCTCAACAGTATTCTCCTTATTCAGATACAGCTGGAGGCATGTATGGAAACAATGATCAAGCTGCTTTACAAGCCTGGTCGAATTATCCTGCTCCGGGTATGAGCAGACATTATCCTCATATAGCTCAAACGTCGTATCGACAACACATGAGCTATCAGCAACAGCCCAATCAAGAAACCCAACAAAAACCTGGTCAATATGTACCGATGATGACTTCACATCAAGCACCTTCTAGTGCTTATTCCAGAAGTCAACAACAGTCGATGGCCCCTCCTTATCAGAATATGATGTACTCAAATTCTGCACCTGGATACACTGGTTATGGCCATCAACAAAATACTACGACAGGTTCTACACGTATGCCACAACATCACATACAACAATATCCTCAGCAACAAATGCAGATGTCTGAAATACCTAACCCACAAGGTTCTTCAAATTACAACCATTTACAGTCTCAAATGTCTACACATCCAGGTTTTGCGCAGCAAACACAACCACCTCCACAACAACAGCAATCTCAACAACCCCAACAACCACAACAACAAATGCCTCAAAGAGCTTTAGGCATTGAAGTACCTAGTAATCCATCGTACGGTTCCCCTAGTGGTAATAGTCAAAGTAAATCTCATACTTCTCAAGGTGAAAGTCCACAACCACAATATCGTGCACAATTTCCCCAACTTTCACCCCAGATGTCACCGCGGCCTCAAATGTCACCTAGACCGCAAATGTCGCCTAGGCCCGTAATGTCACCAGCCAAACCATCGACACATTCTCCACATCCTCATTCCGCTCAAACTATGTCCCCAAGGCCAGCTACTGCGATAACTCCTAAGGCTGTAGCTTCGTCAAGCCCATCACCATACACCCAACAAAGTACTCTTCAACAGCTTGAACAAATGGTTATGCCGACTGTAAACACTAACCAACCTACAGAGTATCCGTCATACAGAGGAGGTCTTCAGACTAATACTTCTCCGCACTGGCAATCGAATCCAAGAACTCCACATAACGGAGGAATGGTTCCATCAAATTTAAACGACCCTAGTATGTCCGGATACTCAAACATGTCAGCATCTGAGGATAACCAAAATGTAGATTCATCGAAATCGCAAAGTAACTCGAATTCAAGTAGCAATATGAACATGAACAACATGTCTAATATGGGTAAGTTAAATTATTTATATCTGTAATTCAATTTTATTTTTCTTCTATCTCCAGTAATGTTTTGGAGCAAATGTAATATTAAAGGCAGTTGACCTGAGCAATTTTTATTTAAAACAAATAATAAATTATTTGAAATAAATACCACTTAAAATTTTGAACAATATTTTTTAAACATTTTTTTTTTTTTTTTCATATAGCTTGTTATTTAAAATGATTTTTCAAGTACAAATTTAAATACACTGTTATTTTCTATAATATTTGTTGATATTAAGGTAGAAGTAATAGAAAAGTTTATTCCACAAAAACAGCTGCTTATTTTCCTTTGCAACATGATGTCTGTTAATATATTTGTTCCCTGAAGTATTGGTACCAAATAAATAACATTTTATTTTCCATAGCAAAAGAATGTCTGTAAAAAAATAAGTATATGTTTTGTTAAATTTTTAGTATTTGAAAATCCCATTTATAAACGTCTCTCTCTATGGTGACAAAGAGGACGATTTTAAATATTAATAATTTTTCGGCGTGGAACGAATAATTTAAAGATCATGTTAAAATTGACTTTATTTTATACAAAGCTAATGCTGCAGAAAGTCATATAGGCATTAACACGGGTTTCTATTTTTTGTTTCATATTTTACCCTTATATGTTCCTTCCAATTAGACGCTCAATTTTTGGAGGTTTTTACACTAGTTTCTTTATTTACGTAAATTGATGTATTTTCTTAAATTGACAAAATTTTTTTTTTAAATATTTGTCATAACACTTAAACTTAAAAAAACTTTACTTCTTAAATTTTTAAAATAAAAAATATCCTTACACAGTTGTAGTACTATATATTTTCTTGGAAAGTGTATTGTTTTAAAATGATTTGCTGAAAATTACTAAATATTACTTTTGTCTTACTGAATTCAGAATTTTTTTCATAAAAACATAATTTTATAGTTAATAATTTTGTTTTTATAGATTTGCCTCCAACTTTAGAACCGCAGACCAGCATACCACCTGTGCAACAACAACAAACCAATCAAAATCAGGGCTCTATTGATCACATGGGATCTAATAGTATTATGCCATCTGCTGCTAATATTGGGTATAATGATTCAATGTCACAATATCAAAATGGTAATAAAATGGAAGATATGATCAGCAGCCATCCATCCGATCCACCCCAGCAGATGCAACATGGACAAGCTTCGATGTATGATCATAGAGGGCCACCGCCTCCTGGAATGTATCATTCGTCTCCTATTAGCCACCAGCAAGAAATGGCTGCATTGCAACAGCAACTCCAAGAGTTATATTGTATGCCACCCGCTGGACCTGATCACCAAATGAGAGTATGTATTTATTAAATTGAAAGAATTTTTGTTTTTTTGAGTAGGGTTTTTTTTAGAATTGTTTACACTCCAGGCAGGCTAATTATGAACTCTATGGTTGATATTTTATGATAATAATATTCTTCTTCTTCTTCTTCCAGCTTTAAAGGTCATTATAGCCCATCGCTGCAAAACAAATCTCCTTCCATCTGTCTCTGTTCAGAGCTGCTTCAATAATATTGTCTATTCCAAGTTGATTTAGTTCTTTTTTATTTTTGTCCATCCACCTCTGTTTCGGTCTTCCAATCGGCCTTCTTCCCTGAGGAATCCAGCTTAATACATCATTTGCTATTGACTTAGCCCTTAGCACATGTCCAAGCCAACTCAGTCTCTTGTGGCGTATTTCCGCTATTATGTCTGGTTTTCCGAATAATTCCTGCAGTTCTCTGTTAGACCTAATTTCGTATGTTTGGTCTTCGTTTCTTTTTGGTCCGTAAATCCTCCTAAGGAATTTCCTCTCCGTGATAGCTAGTCTATTCTCATCTCCTTGGGTCGTGGGCCATGTCTCACATGCATACATTATCACTGGTCTAGCTAGTACTATGTAAAGTCGTTCTTTTGATTTTTTTGACAGTAGCTTCGACCCCAATAACTCCGAGAACGCGTAAAAACATTTGTTTCCCGATGTAATGCGTTTTTTTATTTCTTCATGGTTGTCGTTTGTGCTACTTAAGTTAGTGCCTAAATATTTAAAATCATCTACCTCCTCAAAAATATATTCTCCGACCTGTAGTCCAACTGCATTTCGCATCTGACCTTTGTTCCTACCGATTCGCATGTATTTTGTTTTAGTCTCGTTAATGTTGAGTCCCCGTTTTTTTGCCCTTCGTATCAGCAGTTTTGCTTTTTGAATGCCCTGCTCACTTTCGCCTAATATTACAACGTCGTCGCCATATGCTAGTAATGGAAGGTTTCGGCCGCAGTTAATTCCTTGATATTCTTCTTGTACTTCCCTTACTGCCATATCTAGTACGATGTTAAATAGTATTGGTGACAGTGCGTCACCTTGTTTTATCCTGTTGTTGTTTGGAATTCTTCTGATTTTTCGTGACCAAATTTAACTGCACATCTTGATCCTTCCGTACTCACTCTTATCATCGATATTAGTTTTGAGGGGACTCCTAACAGCTTTAAGCATCTCCATATTTCTGCTCTTTGTACGGAGTCATATGCCTGTTTAAAGTCTATAAAAATTAAGTGTAACGGCCTGTTGAACTCATAGTACTTTTCTATTACTTGTTTAAGCGTGAATATATGGTCTATTGTTGATCTGCCTGACATGAAACCACTCTGATATTCTCCTATGATGTTATTGGCGTATGGTCTTAATCGGTTTAGTAGAGTATTCGATAAAATCTTGTATGCGGTGTTAAGTAAGGATATTCCTCTATAATTCTTTACATCCATGGGGTCCTCTTTTTTATATATGGGGCATATTATCGCTAGGTTCCATTCCGGTGGAATCCTTTCAGTTTTCCATACTTCTTCTTTTAATAGGTCCCATATTTCCTGCGTTAGTTTTTGTCCACCGTTCTTCAGGAGTTCAGCCATGATCTAGTCTTCTCCTGGGGCCTTATTATTTTTAAGAATTTTAATGGCCGCTTCTATTTCTTCTTGACTTGGTTTTTTATCCTCTGGTTCTGCAGTTAGGTATGTTATACTCTCTTCGGTTGTGTCCGCTGGTTTTCCCAATAACTGTTTAAATGTTTCTCTGAATTCTTCCGCAATCTTTTTTTCTTCTGTAATCAGTACGTTATTGCTATCCTTCATTATCATCGTTCTTGGTTTACGTTTTTTTGTTAGCTCATTTGTTATTCCAAAAAAGGTGCGGGAATTCAGGTATTCCTCTTCGATGGTTTTTATTTTTTGTTCTTCCCAGATTTTTTTTTCCCTTCTTATTATATGTTTGCATGCTCTCTGTTTTTGTGCTAGCATTTGTCTTTTTTCTTCTGTGTTAGATCTCAGTACTTCGAGTCTTGCTTTGTCTTCTACCGCGGTATATTACTTAAAATAATTATTTCAGGTCATCATGAATAAATTATATGTTGTGTCAATTATTGTTATTATTATTATCATCAATATTTTTAGATAAGCCACTTACAAGAAAGAATATCTATTTTGCAACAACATGAAGCAAATGACCAATGTATGGGCGGTGTTCATTGTCCTGTAGTTAATCCAATGTATCAACCTCCAATCATGGAACCAGCTGTGCCTGTGGTATGACATTATTATTAATAACATTAATTTGTGTTGTACATGACTTATAAGAATTATAATTCCAGGCGACTTCAGGACGTGGAAGAGGTAGAGGACGAGGGAGAGGCAGAGGCAGTGCTTCGGGCGAAGGTAGAGGAACGCCTAAACCTAGAAAAAGTAGAAAGAAGGCTCAAGAACAAGAGCAGATGCCTTTTTCTCCTCCTGTTTTACAACCCGAACTGCCCACTCATTCTATGGTGCCACAAGAAATGATGCCAATGCACATGAATATGAGTCCTGGTATGGCTCAGCAACACCATATGATGGGTTCTAATATGCCACACTTAGGAATGCCGCCAAATCCTATGCATCATGAACAGCATATGCCTCAACCACCCATGTATAATAATTCAGACCCTGCATATCATCATCACATGCAGTCCATGGGAATGCCACCACAACAGCACGTACCCCAACAACCTCCACCTCAACAGTTACAACAACTACCAGTCCAACAGCCTATCATGCCCTGTGCATCGGAGCCACAATTGCCTAATTCTGTGCCCTATCCGACAGACCCTATGATACCTACGGGACACATTGAACAACCTATGCAAATGCCTCCTGAACAACATCAACAACAACCACACCAACATGTACAGCAACAAGAACAACACTTAACTCGAGAGCAACACCAGCAACAGGAGGATGCGGAAATCGAGCAGGAAGAACAGCTACAACAGCAGCAACAACAATTACAACAACAGTCCATTATAGCTAATTCTCCAATTCCATCTGAGCCTATAAGCCAGGCTGAATCGCCTTCTGTAGAACAAAATAATGATGACTCACCAGCACCTTCTGAGTATAATGCACAATCGCCATTGCCTTACATTGAAGAGAAAAAAGATGACAATACTGATAGTCAATCCCCGGTTCCCAGTCCAAATGTTGAAAAACCAGCAACACCTGAAAATGATAAAATATCTGTTGACTCTCATCAATCTAGATCGTTATCTCCAGCAGAATTAAATGAACCACAATCTCTTGAACGTGATTGTTGGTCTGGCAGTGATCAGGATCCTCCACCGCCAACACTAATTCCTGAAGTCTCACCACCAGTTTCACCTAAAGCGTTAGAAGAACCTCCTGTAGAGTCCAGTGTATTTAATTTTACAGAAGACGAAGAACCGCCCCCTCCACTTCATTCACTTACTGAAGGATCTCCTAGAAAGTCTAAAGCAACAAGGTATTATTTTATTATTTTACACATAAATTTTATGTGCTCGACTTGTATTAAATAATATTAAAAATATATTTTTTGAAATATTACAGAACACCTAAAAAGTCACAGTCTCCAAAAACCAAAAAACCTAAAGCTGTCAAAGTTCCTAAACCTAAAGTTGTTAAAGAAAAGAAAAAGAAAGAAACAGTCACAGAAACTGAAGTAACAGAAACTCCTAAGCCCAAAAGGTAATATTAAAAACATTGTTAGAAATATACTATATTGTATATATTTAAAAATGAAAGCTGCCATTTAATTACAATTTTATTACAATTTTTTTATAGACAACCAAAAAAGAAGAAAAAAGTTGGAGTCGAAAATGTTACGCCTGTTGAAGAAGCTCCGATTGACGAACTAAATTTAGAAACAAATAATGAAGAAGAAAGCATTATGAATGACAGTGAAGTTGAAACTAAAAATGATACTGAACCAGCTAAGTCTTTGGATGATTCTGAAGTAGATACAAATCCTTGCAAGAGCGAAAAGGAAAATACTGCTGATGATTCAATGGTAGATGTAGAATCGTTACCTGAAAGTACTCAATCAGAAGCACCTTCAAAATCTTCAAAGTCTACTAAACGGAGTACAGATCGTAAAACGAAAGCTCGTAGTAGTAATCGTTCTTCTAAGTAAGTTGTTTTTTTTTTTTTTATGATTTGAGTATATAGTTTAATTGACTAAACATTGTGTTTATTTGTTTTAGGCGGAAAAAACCAAAACCCGTTCCTGCTAATGAATCCGATAATGACGAACGTAACATAACACCACCACCATCTCCAGAAGGAGATGATAATGTATGTATTGTATATAAATATAATTCAAAAGAAGAATTATGTTTTTATTTTAATGAAATATAGAGTTAGAGATTACCTAATCAATTATTAAGGAACTATAATCATAATAATAATTTAAACTAAATAAAAATGAAAAAAATATGATTGATAAAATTAAATCATTTTAATTAAATTTGAATGTTTTCTTACAGAAACGAAGATCGGGGAGGCATACTCAAAGAAAGAAATATGTTGATGATATTATGTTAGCTATGTCCGATGATGACTCACGAAAATCGTCATCTCCTCAAAGGAAGTCTTCAGTTTCTGGTTCTGGTACTGCTGGTGAAAGTAAAAAATCAAATCAAGACAAAAATGCTAATGCTAATTCGGTCAAACCTAATATGGTGTATATTGTAAGTCATTTCATGGTGACTAGAAATTAGTTTTTTATTAATTAGTTACGAGTTATTTTCATTATGAATATTGTCAAATTGTTTTTCAGAATGTAACTGATGAGGATTCGATGGTAGTTCAGCATATATTAGCTGTTCGAAAGGGAACTCGAGAAGTGATTACTACTAGTAAAGATGAAAAGAGTTCTCATAGTGACAGTGAAAGTGAAATTAAGAAAGAAAATGAAGAGGTTATAACTGAAAAGACTGAAAAAGATTTGGAAGAAAAAACAGAAGAAACAGAAGATAAGGTCGATGAAGAAGGATCTACAGTAAAAACTGAAGATATAAAACATGAGGAAAAAATTGAAAATAAAGAAATTATAAAAAAAGAATCGGGTGATGAAGAAGAAAATACAGAATTAAAATCTGATGAGTCTAATGATAATAATAAAAAAACGATTGAAGTGGATGAATATTATGTGAAGTATAGGAATTTCTCATATCTTCATTGTGATTGGAAAACCGAAGAAGAATTAATGAAAGGCGATAAACGAATCGCTGCTAAATTGAAACGATTCAAACAGAAAATGGCAAATAATACTAACATTTTTGAAAATGTGAGTGTTATTGTTTTATGCTCATAAGTTTTAAAGCTTTTATTTGTCTATGTATTATAATACGTAATTTTGTGTTTTAGCTTGAAGAAGAACCTTTCAATCCAGACTATATCGAAGTAGATCGTGTCCTTGATGTATCGGAACAGTTTGAAGAACCAAATGCTGAAAAACCGACCAAATATTACTTGGTTAAATGGCGTGCTCTGCAGTATGAAGATAGCACGTGGGAGTTGGAACCGGATGTCGACCCAGTGAAAATCGAGGCCTTTGAAAAGATAAGGCATACACCACCCAAAGACCAATGGAAGGTAAATTCTAATTTAAATTATTTTTAAATCTTAATTTGTTAATACTTATGAGAAAAACCTATGTGAAAATGATGACTGTAGCCATGCTAATATGAATGTTCAAACAATAATATTATTTTATTAAAATATATCTATTGGACATCATGATATATATTATGTCTGATACTCACTTAAAACATTTACTTTACCACTTTTCCCTTTTGTTTTAATGTAAATTAGTACTTGGACTCTCAATTATATATTTTTTATAATTATGAATTATCGTTGTATAGCCCAAGAAAAAACCTTCTCCGACCGATTGGGAGAAATTGGAGAAGTCGCCTGTCTATAAGAGTAACAACACGCTGAGGGAATACCAATTGGAAGGTCTTAACTGGTTACTTTTTTCCTGGTATAATGGGTGAGTAACAATAATCATTTTCAAATCGCGTTCGTTGTAGTCTTAATATATTTCATTTGATTAAACCTTAGTCGCAATTGTATATTGGCTGATGAAATGGGTCTCGGTAAAACTATTCAGTCATTGACATTTATAAACGCTGTTCATGAATATGGTGTTAGAGGGCCTTTTCTAGTCATAGCGCCGTTATCGACTATTCCTAATTGGCAAAGAGAATTTGAAGGGTGGACTGAATTAAATGTTATCGTTTATCATGGCTCGTGAGTATTCTACTATTTAGTACTAAATACTACTAAATAAATTTAAAGAAAAACATGGAATAAAGTATTTATTATTCTTTATTTTTCAACAGTTCTCATAGCAGAAATATGGTACAACAATATGAAATGTATTATCGAACCGAGAAAGGTGCTATAATTAAAGAGATAACCAAATTCGATGTACTTATCACAACATTTGAAACTATTATATCCGATTGTATGGAACTTAAAGATATTAACTGGAGACTTTGTGTTATTGATGAAGCACATAGGCTTAAAAATCGAAACTGTAAATTGCTGGAAGGATTGCGTGCATTGAACCTTGTAAGTTATAATAGATAATAATAATAGTGATGTCTTGCAATTTTGAATATTTATCAAATAAGTATGTTATTATTAACAGGAACATAGAGTTTTGTTGTCTGGAACACCTCTACAAAACAATGTAAACGAACTATTTTCGCTATTGAATTTCCTCGAACCCACTCAGTTTTCGAGCTGTGAAGAATTTTTGCAAGAGTTTGGTTCTTTAAAATCAGAAACTGAAGTACAGAAGCTTCAATTATTACTAAAGCCAATGATGTTACGGCGGCTTAAAGAAGACGTTGAAAAGTCAATTGCCCCTAAAGAAGAAACAGTCGTTGAAGTAATTAAAATATTTCAATTGTGTGTCGTGACAAGAATATGCACTTGTGTCTATTTACATTTTGTTTTTTATATATTAGGTTGAATTGACCAATATACAAAAGAAATATTACAGAGGAATTTTGGAGAAAAACTTCTCATTTTTATCGAAGGGCACAACTTCGGCTAATGTCCCTAACTTAATGAACACCATGATGGAATTACGTAAATGTTGTATTCATCCATATCTATTAAATGGTAATATTTAGAAATATTATTTTGTCTGCTTATATAGTAACATAAATATAATATTCTCTTGTAGGAGCTGAAGATCAAATTCAATACGATTATCGCAACCTCAACGGTGATGATCCTGATGTCTATTATAAAGCATTAATACATTCTTCTGGTAAAATGGTATTGATTGACAAATTGCTTCCAAAACTCAAAGATAATGGACACAGGGTGTTGATATTTAGTCAGATGGTACGGTGTTTAGACATTATTGAAGATTATTTAGTGTATAGAAAGTGAGTTCAATTAGATTATTACTACTGTGTACATGTAACATTTTTGAAATGCCTATTAATATAATTTGTATGTTTCAGGTATCCGTTTGAAAGGTTAGATGGTAGGATACGTGGAAACTTGCGTCAAGCTGCCATCGACAGGTTTTGTAAACCAGATTCTGATAGATTCGTGTTTTTGTTGTGTACCAAAGCTGGTGGTTTGGGTATTAATTTAACCGCTGCCGATACTGTAATAATTTATGACAGCGATTGGAACCCACAGAACGATCTTCAGGTTAAAATACTTTTTATGAAATATTGCAAACGTTTATTATAATTTGTTGTTGACTGATGCTTTTAATACACAAAAGTTCTAAATATTTATTCAATGATTTTTTTCATTTTAGGCCCAAGCGCGTTGCCATAGAATTGGACAACAAAAAATGGTAAAAGTGTATAGACTTTTGTGCCGCAATACATACGAAAGGGAAATGTTTAATAAAGCATCGTTAAAACTTGGATTGGATAAAGCTCTTCTTCAGAGTATGAATACAGCACAAGGCAAAGATTTAAACAACAAACAGCTTTCTAAAAAAGAAATAGAAGATTTGCTAAAGAAAGGTTTGATAAAGAAATTATAATAAAATGTGTTAAGATTTATTTTGCTTTATGTTATATATTACCTACTTTGTAATATTAGGTGCGTATGGTGCTGTTATGGAAGAAGACAATGCTGGGGACAAATTTTGCGAAGAAGATATCGACCAGATCCTTTCAAGGAGAACACAAGTTATCACACTAGAAAGTGAAAAAGGATCAACTTTTTCCAAAGCTAGTTTTGCATCAAGTGGCATACGTCAAGATATCGATATTGACGATCCCGACTTTTGGAAAAAATGGGCTAGGAAAGCTGATATTGACACATCCGACAGAGGAGATCAAGTATGTATTTACATTTGGTTAAAAAATACTTTTTGTAATTTTAATTTTATTATTTTTTTTTACAGAATGAACTAGTAATATCAGAACCAAGACGGCGTACACAAATAAAACGATATGGGCACGATGAAGCTGTTATGGATATGTCAGAACTTGAATCTTCTGGTTCTGCGGACAGCGACGGTGACAATAATCAAGGAATCGGTCGTGGAAGAGGTAAATATTGTACATAGAAAATATTAGTCAAAATGCGTTTTAGTCAAATATTGTAGTGTACAATATTTTCATATAAAACTCGAGAAAAAATATTTTTTATGGTCTCTTGTTGAATATGTAAATATCAAAGTAAATATTGTTTTGTAAAATACAAAATATTATTTGAATGCTAGCTCAACTTGACCATACATAATTATACTTTATAGGACGTCGAACTCGTAAAAGTAAAAACTTGCGTAACAAATTTTTACCACCTGACTATGTACCCAAAGAAGGAGAAGTGCTTTATGGTTGCTGGACAAGAAGTGAATGTTACAAAGTTGAAAGAGGAATTTTGACTTTTGGGTTCGTATTTTATTTGAAATAACCATCTAATTGGTTTAATGTTATATTAATTGTTACAATTAAATATTTTTGCTTGTTATTATTATAGATGGAGTCGTTGGTCAGATATTATTTTACATAATGATTTCCGTGACGGTTGGAAAGAAAATGATGTTGAAGATTTAGCTCGTATTGTTGTATGTATTGATAAGGGTTTAATTTAAAAATAATTAAAATCGAGTATTTTGTAATAAAATAAATTATTATTTATAGATTTTATATTGCTTACGATTTTATCGTGGAGATGAAAAGATACGATCTTTTATTTGGGATCTTATAACACCTGATAACATATCTGTTGAAGATTCTCCAACACATAGTGGTAAGCAATCAAGCATTTTCTTTCAAATTTTTCATACTTAAGTACTTACTGATAAAAAGAGTTTTTTTTAAAACAAGGTTATATATTTTTATTTGTAAATAATTTATATTGTAATTTTACTTATATAATATTTATTATATGTTATTTAATGCCATACCTATGATTTATGTTAAATCAGGCCAAAATTCTCGAGGATCAAAAAAGAAAAAATTGAAGCAAAAAGAATTGAATTCTGCTCAATTGATTGACGAAGAACATTGGAGCCGAAACTCCAAGTACGACGGAGACATTTTTTTGGATAGCAATTATCGTAAACATCTCAGTCGACATGCTAACAAGTGGGTATTTAAATTTTTTTAAAAAACTTTTTTACTATAAAATTATTTTTTTATATTTTCAGAGTTTTAATAAGACTACGTATGCTGTATTATATCAAAAGTGACATAGTGGGTGATTTAGCTTCACAAGTCATAGAAGGTCTCCATATTAGGTCAGTAATGCGCCTTGTACATTGTTATTTATTAAATATTTAGTGTGTACAAATTTATAAAATAAATATGTAAAATTTTAATAATAAGTGATTATTCTTATGGTTTAATTTACAGTAAATTACCAATAAACACACCTCTTTGTGATCTCGCTCCTACTCCCTGGTGGGATCGCGATGATGACCGTTCACTATTAGTCGGTATATATAAACATGGCTTTGAAAGTTATAACCAGATGAGAAATGATCCTGCTTTGAGTTTCCTTGCCAAGTGCGGACCACCAACTACAGTGTAAATATCATTTTTTTTGCTTGATAACCTAACCTAACGTGTATTTGATTTCATTTTATAACAAACTCAATATTTTTTTTTTTTTTAGCGATGAAAAAGAAACAAATGTGTCAAAACTAAATGATGTAGAAGAAAATTCTGAAGTACCTACAAACTATGAAGAAATATTATCAGAACCATCAACTTCATTGGCTGCAGAAGATAGCACTGCCGTATTACCGTCAACACCTACAGCCGAATCAAATGAATTTATTTGGCCTTCCATCGGTGATCTTAATAACAGAGTGAGAAGACTCATATCTACTTGCCAAAGAAATTTTAAGAAAGAAGAACAAAAAATGGTTCAGAAGGCTAAGGTTAGTTTTTATTTTAAATACTTACTGTTGCAACTATTTTAGTAAATTGTCGTCGGATGATTATGATCAATGAACACGTTAAATTTTGGATATAGCAACTATTCTATCCTATTTGAAATTTAAGCTATTTTTTTTTTTAAATTAAACATTTATGCCTATTTTTAATTAGTAAAATGTATGTAATAAAATTTCTTTATTTACAATAATATTATAATAATATAAAATTTAATTTCTTTATTTTCACAATTGATTGAATTTACTTGATAATTAAGTTAGAATAGGTATGATCTGTTATATTATTATTGTGAACTCTGGAACTCTGGTGTTTGTTTCTATGCAGGATGTGACCATGTTTAAATTTGATCTCGGATCGCCGAGATCTTTGATGGATACCATCAGTTCATCACAGGCATTGCCGGTAAATCTTTTATTTGTGTCTTGTAAATATTCTATATGATATGTTTTCGTTTTTAATTTTTATTTTGAAGCATTCATTCAAGCATGACACATAGATGAACATTTTTTTTTTTTTGGTGTTCCATATTATTTTATTGGTCATTCGCTAATTAATTGAAATTATTTAATTTGTTTTATTATGTCTATTATTATTTTATGATTTTTTATTTGGTCACTATATTTATCTTATTTCCCTCTCCCTTTTTTTAAGGCAGAAATGTTTTTTACTATAAGAAATATTACAACAATACTTAATGTAAAATTGAAAATCCACAAAATATTTATTGGTTTTGTTTATAAATATATTTTTTTTAATTTTAATATTTGATTTGAACATCAACTAGTTCAGTTGTTTCAGATCATAAATCTAGAACATAGAATTGACTTCATTAGTTAAGTAGAGTCATTTATAGGTAGGCTAAAAAAACTGGTTGTTAAAAAATAATTGGTGTGATTTCTTTTATATGTTTAGGGTAATAGTGCTGGGTTGCACAAAACAATTAATAATTTTAACTGTTCTTTAAAAATCAATTGATCAAGCGCAGTCCTTTAGAGAGCTTACTTACATAATAAGATAAATTCATTTAAATTGTACTCTATTTAAATTAAACATTATGCATTGGAATTAGATAATGGCATAAATGTCTATAATATTATACTGAATTTTTCATTTCCGTGTGTATGGATTAAGTAGTAGTATTGGTTGGTTTTGTGGGCTTGTTATTTGTTGTTTTATTTCCGTATAATATAATATTTATATATTCTGTACAGTGTATGGATTATTCAAATTCCATGTTGCAGCCAATTTTTAGATAAAATATTTATGATAAATAAAATTACACTTAAAGTAAGGAACTTAAAAAACAATTCCTTTGTACTTTAGAGGAAAATCTCTAATAAAATATCCCAAACAAATATGTATCTTATTATGTTGATTTTTTGAAAAATTATAGCATACATAGAAAATATATATCCATTTTAATTTGTAAGTCTTTTAATTTTAATGTGAGGGTAATACTATGTTTTTAATATTTTCCTTCATAATAAACTTTCGTGAAGGATTTCTGATTAATAAACTGTATAGATTCAGATAGAGAAATTTGTCTATGTTTTTGTGAATTAAAAAACACATAAAATGCTAGTTAAAATATTATCACATCAACGTTAAAATTAAATATTTCAATTATTTTTAGATATAATTATTTGTTTACTGTTTTTTGAAAAATTACACTTGTTAGTGTAAATAAACCAAATTAAAAAAAAAAAAATTTAAACCAATAATTTCTAATGGTTGTTGATTAAATACTTTTGAGATTTATTTTTTGAACACATTTTTACATAACAGTCATACTAAGTTATGTGACTATTGAAACATATTATGAGTAATATTTTAAGTTTTCATATAAAAAAAAATACAAATAAGTTCTTAATCAGTCATTGAAATAAAAAAATAAAAAATATAAATCAGTTTAATAGCTGGCTTTCAATTCAAACAAAATTATTAAATTATTTCTATTCTTATGAACGCCTATTATGTTATGTTATTATTACTTTATTAATATTTCACATTTGACGTATTTAGAATGCTTTTACACAAACAAGTAGTGGACAGCTGCTAACACAATCATTATTACACAGTTATGAAATTATTATTTTTTTTTTCCGGTTGATCAATTACAAAGTTACAAAATTGATTAAAACTTAGTAATATTATATTCTTTTTTAGTGAAACCATCATTAAAATATAATATAATATAATATGTAGATTTGTTGATGTAGATTATGTTTAGTTGCATGAATGTTGTTTGTGTGTTCGTAGCTAGGAGAATCAACGTGCGCGGTGACGCCAGGTACAGCCCAGTTATCAGGAGACGTTGCCAGCCTCCTTGGTACGGGACAGCCCGGATGGGACTGGCAACAACTGGCCATGTATCTTTGGGTTCGTATCAGAGTTCAACAAAATTACTTGGTCAAAATACATTATGGATTTGCACTAACACTAACAAATTGAATGGTGTTCTTAATGATAACTCTCGCTTGTAATCAATATTCAGATTGTATCAACATCATTAATATTAAAACATCCTCGAAACCATTTTTTTAAATTAAATAGTGATCGACAATTGTGTTATTATCATAGATTTTTGGGAGACACACACTTCATTAAGTTTTTGAGAAATATTATAATATGACAGCTCATTTTGTGTTCGGTAATAAACAAGTTCTTAATTATTATACCTACATTTTTCTAAATAAAAATCAATTATTTTTAATTTAAAATTTATTTCAGTATTAGTTATAATAATATTTACATTATTATGTAGATTAGCACTAATAAGGGCAAATAATTTTACTGTTAAAATCAAGTTCTTATTTTTGTATTATAAAAACAAAGTCGTTGCACGATTCTCACAATAGCTGTAGTTAATTTTTGCATGATAATTTCGCATAAAAAATAATATCAGCTTTTGTGGTTGCATTGATTATAAATACAACTATTGTATTTATAGTCAATCGTGGTTGTTATTTTGCATGGTTTGTTTAGAATTAATTGCTTGTTGTGTGATTGTAATAAATATTAATATTTTGCAATAAAGTTCTATGACCATTCAAAGAACTATTTTAGTGGTACTAACTTGGAACGTACTATGAACAATTTTTATGCACTTTCTATGAATAATTTGTAATATTAACATTGTAGTAGTGAGTTAAAAAATATAATGATTTTGTTTTATAAATAATAATACATTTTTTTACAATAAACATGATATTTCATTTTATAAAACCAAATACCACGTTAGTATTAAAAAAGGGGACCTCTTTAGTGACTTGTGGTGTTGATTGTAATATCTTAATGCAAATTACATGAATAATAAATTTAAAAATCAACTATTTATTATATCAAATTTGATTCGGTTCAATTATATACTTTTTTTTATTATGTTATTAAGTGTTTTTATACAATATATAAAATACACTAGTATTATAAGTCAATAGCATGATGCATGTAACTTATTTAATAGAGTTATTAGTTTTTGTAAATATAAATTTATATTGGTATTCAATATTAATTGTTAGTAACGAGATTATTTTTTTTTTAATCTCAAATTCCTGTTTTATTTTTGTTAATATTTACTGTTATCTTACTGAGTTTAATTATTAAATTTTGTGTTTATTAGAAGGTGGAAAGAAGAGAAAAGTATGAACAATTTGTCAGGGAGCGAGAACGACAGCGAATGGAAGTGAGTCAGAAAAAATGGACCAGAAAAGAAGAACAAGAATTCTATAGGGCTGTGACCACATATGGTGTTGATTACGATAGGTAAAAATAAAAGATTAAATAAACGGTTTAAATAATAGTGAAGTTTTATAATTATATTGGAAAATTTAAGGTCGACAAAAACATATAATTGGACAAAATTTAAAAGTGTTGCTAAATTGGAGAAAAAATACGATGACACTTTAACTGAATATTTCCGTTCATTTTATGCAATGTGTAAACGTTTATGTAACCAGGCTTTGACCAAAGAAGAAGGTATGTTTAAAATAACTGCTTTTTGTTTGTCTGCAATAACTTAAATAATTTTTTATTGATTTATAATATTTTTTTAGAATTATGTGATTTTCCAATGGAATTGATAAATGAAGAACGTGCCCGTCGAGCTCTGGAACGCATTAATTTACTTGTTAAAATACGCGAAGAAATATTAATTCACCCACAATTGGATGAACGTTTAAAAGCTTGCCAAGTGTCTGCAGATGTACCTGATTGGTGGCAACCTGGGAAGCATGATAAAGATTTACTCATTGGAGTTGCCAAGTAAAGAATAATTGTTTAATAAGTGAATCCTTTTTTTTTTTTTGATAATTTTCTTAATGTTAAATCCTGTATTTATTTATAGACACGGCCTAGGAAGAACCGATTTTTACATTCTTAATGATCCCGAGTTAACTTTTAGAGAAATAGTTCAGAAAAATTTACTATCCGCAGTGTCGGGATCTTATCCAGCAGAATTACTTCAAGCGGCTAAATCTGAAGCTATTCAATTGGCCGAATCCAGTAAATTAAAAGTTTCAAAGACAGATTCGAGTAAATCTGAACTATCTAAGCCGGCTTGTAATAAATCAGAAGTGATTAAAGCAGAAACTCCAGTAGTTGAGTCAGTAAAGGTTGAAGCCACTGCATCAGATGTTCCTGAATCTGACACTTCCAAGGGGGAATCTTTAAAATCTGATCCCGAAGCTGAATCAAAAACGTCTAAATCCGACGATGAAGAGGTAGTGGATAAGGTAGCTAAACCTGAAAATGAACCTACCGAGTTTTTAGATAATAGTAAATTGTCAAAAAGTGACACCGCAGATGCTGATCAGGAGAATGATTTATCTGAAGATGCAAACGAATCGAAAACCACTACTGTAGCTGGAAATATTGAACCCATGCAAGTCGATATTCAAGAAGATGCAGAATCTGAAAGCTCCGATAAAAATAACAAACAAGAAATCCATGAAAATCAAAAGGAAGTGTATAATGATAGAGAAAACTTATCAGAGACTAATGATAAACAAGAAAGTGATGAAAAACAAGAAGATGATTTAGTAGAAAACGAGAAAGCCAACAAGCCCGAGAAAGAAAATGACGTGTTCCCGGTTGATAACAAATCGAGTGATAAAGTAGAAACTAAAGAAGAATCGATGACCTCTGAAATTAAAGAGGAAGCCACTAATGAAATAACTACACAAATCACAATTAATCCTGATATTAAAACCAATGAAGAACCTATCAAAACTAAGGATGTTTCTGCATCAGTAGAAAGTGTTGACAGGTTAAAAGCTATGTTTCCCGAACTTGAAGTTATGCATAAAGATATTTCTAGTCCTGCTATTGATAAATTGCCCATGCAAAAACCATTACAGCAAATCGATCAAACTATTGCTCACCTCTTAGCCACTAGTTATCAGAATCCAATTAAATGGCCAAAGGTATTGTATGCGTGAATTTGGTGGCTAGTTGAATTTCTTTGTGTATAGTACAATTTACCATATATTTATTTTCAGGAACATGCTCTGGTTGTTCGATTGCAGCACATTGTCGAATGTGTTGAAACTGGTGAATGGCCTGTTAGTAAAAAGTTTTCAGCATATGCCCAAAATCCAATTGGAATTGTTAATGTAGGAATGGACGATTCCGATATTGGAATTGGTAAAAGAGAAATAGGGCAACTACATGATCACACTGGAATATCTGATGTCCACAATGACCACTCTTCAATAAGATCTAAAATTATGATGGCTCATTCGAATGTTAACTTAAAACGCAAACGTCATATTGCCATTGATGTAGAGACTGAAAGAGGTTGGTATATATTTCCACAATTAAAAAAGTTACATATTATGTGCTATTTGAAAAAATGTATAATGTATAATGCATATATGTAGTATACAACTAGTACTTGTTATTAAATTATATTACTATAAACAATGCTAAATAGTAAATAATTTTTTTTTTATAGCCAAACTTCATGCATTACTTAATACCAATTCAATTCCTGCACATCCAGCAAAACACTCATCTGCTCCCATGTGGGAGCAAACGGATGAATCACTTTCTGAAGACTCGAGGTTTGGAAAAAAAAAATAAACATTTCAAACATAATGTAAAGTACTTAAAAACATATTTTATTATTACAGGCGATCGACACCAATTCCTTCGCAACATATTCAACCTCCACCAGCTCATCAGCAATCACATAATACATCTGCTAGGCTAATGAACATGGCTTATGATTTAAAATTTTCAAATACTCAAAAACCACCTACTTCAAATATTGCCACTACACCACAGTCTACTGGACCAATAGATCTGTCGTCTGGGTAAATATAACTTTTCTCCCTTTTTTGTATAGTCAATGCAATTAAAGCTTGGGGTCCGTACACAAAAATTGGGAGAGAATAGACTGTATGTGCAGTGGGTACATGTTATAATCCAAGAGTAAATAAGATAATGATGATGAATTTGAGATAAAGAGGGTTGACCGAATCTATTAAGATACAAAAATGTACAAACAATAATAATAATAATGTACAATAACATAATTTATAAACTTTGGAATTTACAGAGGTGGACAACAACAGTCAGGGTGTATGGACTTGAGTTCTGGACCAAGGGATTCTTCTGTAAACGAAGTCCAAGACTTTTCCATGCCATTTAAAAATAAACCCAACCAAAATGTAACGCAATCTTCCAGTACGTCTACACCACCTAAAAGTAAATTGGATGACATGTTGAACAAACTCATGCAAAAGAAAAATTGTGTACGCCCCTCAATGACACGAGTAAGTAACAATAAATATGGAATATTGTGATACACGGTCATGCGAGTTTAGTCCGATTTGGCTAAAGTTTAACAATTAGTTATGACTGCCTATCGAAAATATATATTTATATATTATTAAAATATTAACTGTATCAGTATTGTTTTTGAATTGTGTTTATTTTATACACAGGCTGCAGAAGAACCTCCTGCTGTTGGAAAAGAAATGAAACGTCGCAAGCTTGATGAAATAGTGTTCGGTTTATCTGCTGCTAAAGAACAGCAGTCAACACCTCCGGCCGAACAGAAGAAACAGCACTCTTCATCAACTCCCTCTGCCCATGGTTATCCGGTACCATCAAGTAAATCGCAACAGAGTTTGTCACAGCAATTAGGAGCGGCTCATAGGCAATCCAGTAAATTAGACCCACTAACAGCATTTTTATCATCACAAGTTCATGAACAGCAGTCGAACTTGCTTAAGCAACACACTACATTACAACAACAACTTGCCCAACAACAACAAGTAAAAACTCATATCTTAACATTTTAAACTTATTTTCTTAACAATATTTTTTTCTAGGTTTTAAAAATGTCTCAGTCATCGAATGCTTCATCAGTTTCTCAAACACAACGAAAAATGTATGAAGCAATGATGGACAGTATGGCAAAAAGCACTGCTGAATACTCTGGTAAATTAAACGCGTCTGCGTTTTCACAAGAAGCCAAAGTTAACAAATGGTTAGCAGAACAAAATGCATTGATGACCGATCAGCAAATGTCTGCAGACTTCCTATCGGCTCCAAGAAGGCGAAGACCAAGAGTAGATCCGACACTATTAGACTGGAAAAAATTGACCGGAGAAGAAAATGTATCGGTTATAAACAGAACCACAGGAAAAAAGGTATTTTTTTTTTTAAATTCTTTGTAGACAATACATTTAAATTGATTAAATCATAAATTTTCATTGTACAATAAAAAAACGTTTTTATAATTTTTTATTTAATAGCTGACTGGAACAAAAGCTCCGCCATTAAAGAGAATTGGTCAATGGCTTCTTGAAAACCCATCGTATGATGTAGATCCAAAGTGGGCTGACTTAGTTAAAGAACGTGGAAATCTCACTCATGATTTGCAAAAAAGATTACCCCAAACTGAACGTAAAAAGGGACCAGGACGACCACCAATGCAATCTGGAGAAAATGCTGGCTCATCTGGTCCATCACTTTCAGGAAATCAGCCTTCGTCATCTATGGCTTCAAATTTGTCCTTCCCATCATTAGCTACTGCTGGACTTGGTGGAATAAATCCATCAACGCTTCTGTCTAGTTTGTCAATGGGCAATTTTGATCCAAAGAACAATCCTTTATTAATGCCATTTAGTGGACTTTCTAATATTGGTGCATTGGGCAGTATGGGAGGATTAAGTAACATGAACTTGACAAATTCATTATTTGCTAACCTTGCTGGTTTAGGGTTACCGGGACTGGCTGGTCTAGATCCATCCAGCATGAATGACAGTTCTCATTCTACCCAAAACCAGCAAGTCAATTCTAAAGCCTCTAAATCAAGGAAGTCTGAATCGAGTACTAAAACACCCACTCCGTCATCTTCGTCGGCCAACGTACCATCAAGCTTACCAGGATCATTACCATTTTTCTTCCCCAATCCCAGTATGTTGTACTCGCCATTGGGCTTGGGTGGACTGAATCCATTTACATTGCCACCCGGAGCCATATCATCGGCATATGACAGTTTGTCATTACTAAACGGTAGTCTTAATGTCTCATCTCCAAACACTTCTCAAGGACTCTCTCGACATAAAACTTCAAGTAGCCGAGGTCAGAGTTTAAATGCCAGTACCGTAACTTCATCTAGTCAACGACAACCGAGGACCAGTACACATCATTTACCTACGCCCTCCCCAAGTCCTGCTGACCTTCTTGAAAATTTAACTAGAGCAAGTCGTAATTTACCCCATCCGGAAATGTCAAAGAGTCGGAGTTCCAGGGACGTAGACAGTTTACGTTCGCTGATGTCGAGCATGCCACCGTTCAATATGTTGGCCGCTGGAGCCCTAGCCGGTAGCAGCGACCCTAAAAGGTCTAGAGAACAGGAAATGAGAGAAGCCCTTGAAAACTTGAGCAAAGCTTCACCGGAGTTGTTTGCACGAGCTTTACCTGACGATAAGAAATTCAGTTTTCCATCTATGGAAATGATGGAAAAGACGCTAAAGAGAACTGTCGATCAAAATTCTACTGAGAGGCCCAGCAAACGTCCAAAAGACATGATATCTCCCATTACAATCCCAGTACCACATGCTATGACAACAAAACCGAATGTTAATAGGGAGAGTTCCTCTTCTGAATCCGGCATTGACTTGACGAGTACAGTCAAAGCCAAGTCTCCCGACAAACACAAAGAAAAATTTGAGAATATTGACGCACCTCAATCTAATGTTTTAGCAAAATGTGATTCACAAATTGATAAACCTGATGATATGACGAAGCAAAAATCTGATATGGCTGACGACATTGACGACAAAAATGGGAACGGTAAAAAAAATAAAAAAGGTAAAGTCAAAAAACTGTCAGTTGAAGAAAATGTAGAGCGAAAAAATCTTCGCAGCGCTGGTAGATCTACAAGGGCTAAGTCTCATTCTCGATCACCATCGCCAACGACATAACAACTTTCCATTATCGTCTTTTTAATTTAAACATTTTTTTTTTAATATTATATATATATATATGAGTTATAAAACCATTCCTAGTATTTAATGCGCTAGTTAGCATTTTTAACATATATTTTTTTTATTGTTTATTTGTAACAAAAGTTTTTCTAAAAAGTATTATTATTAATATAGTATTTTTAAGATATTTTTAACTAGTTTGATGTTTAAGTTTCTTTTAAATAGATTTTTTCATTTATTTAAAACTAAAGTTCAAATGAAACATTTGAATCATTTTATTGTTTCATTTTTGTACAGTAAGTTATTGGAAAATGAGAAATTAAGCTATTACATTATATTATTACTATAATATACTATTATGGGTTTCCTATGATATTGTAAATACTTTTATAATACCAAGCATTGCTCTCTAAAAAAAAAAAAAAATTATTATTTATAACTCTCTTCAAGTCATAAATAATTTACAATAAATATTTTTTTAAAATGTCTGCTTCTCATTTTTTATTTTGTTAAAGTGATTTTTTTGTTTACACAACTGTGATAGTGTATTTTCAATTTTGAAGACTAAATATAACTAATACAAATGTATTTTACATCTTTTTAAATTCATATTTCATGATATTTGTTTATTTTCATAGATCCAATTTATTTTAATTCATGATTAATATTAATAAAAGAATACTTATTTAAAAGTTTCAATATTAAAACGATTAAAACTAATTATAACTTTTTAACCAGTATTCTGTTTCATGTAATTTTCTTTATACATAAAGCAGCTAAAGTGTTTTGTGTTTACACGCACAAAAATAAATAAGTGTATGTAAATAATTATAATTGTAGATATATATTAACAAGTTTGTTAATAGATGTTAGTCATAATGTGACCCCGTTTCCTCAAGTCACTTTTGTTTGTGTATAGTCCCAATGCCCGATGTATTTTTATTTGTAACCTATAAATTTGTATATATGTTAAATATTGCTTTATAAATATTATGTATACTTAAACAAGATATAATTAAATGTAATAGGTAAACTTATCTAGTTCGTAGCGATATTGTTTTAATATTAAAATACAGTTTTTTCAACATTGTATATAAACGTACCTAAGAGTTTTGGATCGCTGATCCGTTTTCTTTGAATGAGTGGATGAGTATTATATACATGACCTGAACAAAATCACTTTATATAAAATTATAATAAAATAGGCAAATGAAAAAAAATGTACTTCAGTAATATTACTACGTAGGCTTAATTACAGAATTTAAGGTTTTATATTAATTGCATTAAATTTATTTGTATGTTTAAATTATACATGTGTCAATATGTATAATATACATGGTGTATACTTATATAATAAAAGATAACGTGGAATAAAAATATATAAACATCACAAATAAAAAAAATTGAATTAATCGACTTAAAAGGTACTTATATTAAAACTTTTTTACTCATATTGTATACTCGTTTATGTTATTTTTATTGAACTACCTATTTTGTTTGGGTTGAAAATGTCTTGTTGTTCTTACAATGTGTGGCAGTTTTTTGTTTGTTTCTAAATCTATTTTTGCTTACACAAACTGTTTACTTTCTTAACTAATATGAAACGGTATGTGTGAACATATGATAGTTAATGGAATTGTTATTATTGTTATACATTTTCTTTGTTGAATTTATTTTTGGAAAGACAACTAAAATTTCTTTCTTATTGGTGGAGGATATAAACAAAAATATAAGTTAAAGAAAAACGAGTTGTCGTTCCTATCAATATAAACGCATTTAAAATAATAATAATAATAATTTTATTGCAATGGATTTTACATTAAATATCTCAAAAATTAAATAAAAAGTATTTATAGTTGAATTGTATAAACCGAAATGATAAGATTATGTTTTAAAATTTAATTTGTATTATAAATTACTAATTAGAGAGGGAAAATCTTAGAAAATTATACTAATGAATTATAATAATATTTCCACTTAATTTTTTATTTATTCATTTTGTTATTTATACATTTTTTCCCATAAAGCGCTAATTATAATCTTTTTTTATTTACAAGGTCCTCTCATTTCTGTCAGTAATATATTTATTATCTTTATGTGAAATACTTGTCGCTGCCTGTACAATTATGTTGTAATGTGTATTGACAATTGGATATTATTTTGCCCTTTTAAAAGGCTGATATAAGTACCTATATATTATGCATTGTTTTCAGTCGATGTTTCTGTAACTTTTTTTTACTTGTACAAAATAAAAAATTGTTTTTCTATTTGATACGTCATTTATATTTATTTATTTGTATATTACTGTGACTACACCCAATATACTTAGAATACCTATACTGAAAACATAACTATAGTAAGTAAAAGGTTTTTTTTCTATTATGACAGAAAAAAGTTAAAAAGCGACTTGAGATTTAAATTTTAAAAAAATGTTTTCAAAAAAACTGTTGAAAGCCTATGTTGATAGCTTAGTTAACAAAAACATAATTACAAACGGACCTTTTCACAGGATAGCAGTTTCACTTATTCCCTTCACATTTGTTTGCCAGTATCCGTTTATGTTTTGTTTAGTTCAGACTATCTAGTAATATTACATGAGTAGTTTTATCGACGTGAACATCGGTTTTTCTTTATGATCATTAAATAATATATTGAGTTATTTTAGAGTGTTTATTAAAAGTTACTAATATTGTGTTTTAAAATTTTAATTACCTTATTCACTTTTTAATAGTGTAATGTACTCGACGCAGTACAAAGACTCAAAAGAAAGTAGTATTTTGTATACCTTCGTCCAGTGCTTTTTAAGCTCTTATAGTTGTTACAATGCCAAAATCAGTTGTGACATCCTTTAATTTCCTTTCACACATTAAATACAACTTTAAAGACACTCTAGATTAGGTTAGGAATTCGGAATTCGGTTAACAGACATCATCAATTTGATTTATAAGTAAAATTTTAGTTGTTAAATATATTGAACAAAAGAAATATACATTTTTATGTACAGTAGTACCTACATATTCATAAATATAAATGCTTTAAATTTTTGAAAGAGAGCTCTTTATTTCTAATGAATAAAAAAAGAATAAAATGTTGAACGTTGTAAAATAAATAAATTATTTTCATTACCAAAATAGTAAATAACAAATAAATGCACATTATATTATATTAATTAATGTTATGTTTTATTTAACACTAAGGAACCTATGTTTAGACAAAAGTGGGTATCAAATACTGACGACGCGCTGTTGCGTTAGTGCTGTAGTGTCATGAGCGTCTGACATTACTTTGAGTCTTGTTTAACTGAATAAAGCAAACAATAAGCACATTCCATTAAGTTTAGAGCGACCATGTACAACACATTATAATATAGGGTGCTCTGTTTATAAAATGGTGACATAACTTAATGTAATATTTATCAATTAAAACTAACTATAATTTCCAAAGGTTCATGACAGTTACTTATACTTTCTTTAATTTATATTTATTTCGTGTTTAACTTTTCCACCCTATTTCGTCAATGTTTGAACTCTAAACTCAGCAGTTTTTATTACGTTATACAATATGATTGCAGACAAACACAGGAAACACATAACACAACAATAGGTATTATGATGGGAACCCCTACTTTATCACCAACTAAATTGAAATTATTAACAAATTTTATACGGACCCAAGCCACTACATCGCAGACAATTTAACCCCGAAAAGTTGTAATCTCTCAAATTGTAATCTGACAGTCAGTGTGCACAGCTGTGTATAAATTATACGGCTATAGCACGGTTAAAAACAGAATTTTCCATTTTCTCCGTTTTTTGAGTGAATAGTTTAGCTGGAATGACCGAAAAATTAGAATTGCCCTACACCTACCAGCACTGTCGTCCATTTCTCGATCATTTCCAAAATGTTGGACATGTTTTTGTCTCGTCCCATAAGTTCGTATATTTAAAATGTAGTTTTTTTCTGTTTATTCTGTGGTTATATCAGTAAACATTTGTATCGTATTTGTACGTGAATCAACGTGTATAGTTATTTATTATGGATCAGCAACTCGGAAAATTGTATAACCTTTAAACGAGTTGAAATCTATAATGACATTAATGAGTCTAATATTACTTCGTGAACAAATAAAATGAAAAATCAACGGTGTTGACAATACACTATAACGAGCGGCCACACTGTTAAATAATCTAATTCTCATCTGCAGGCTACAAGATGTTTTATTATAAACTAGGGTTTTTTAAACAAAATATAAAATAATACACATATATACAGGGTGTAATGTAAAGTTCTACTGAGCTTCAAATGAAACATTCAGGATTCTCTATGGGTACACTAAATGGTATTCATTTTTTTTAATTTAAAAATTATTTAAAATAGAATTCGTATCTCATTAAAAAATGGTTTTACGGAAAAATAGCTCAGTGGCCACTCGGTGGACACAAGTGTGGCCAGATACCAAAAAATCATGTTACATATCAATTCAACAAGATTTTTTCTCCCGATTTCAAATCTGAAATCATTTTTTTCGTAAGAAAATTTTGTAATGAGATACGAGTTCTATTTTAAATAATTTTTAAATTAAAAAAAAATTAATACCATTTATTGTATCTATAGAGCATCCCGAATGTCTCATTTGAAGCTCGGAAGAATTTTACATTACAACCTGTTTATAAAGTGGTCCACAATGATTTGACAAATTAAATAACTTTTGTGAATATTTTTGAGATTTTATTTTTTTAAATAATTTATACTCATTTGCGCTATAAGCCCCACGGTTTTAATTGCACTTACCTGTTTTAATTATTTATTTTTATTATATATTTTTATTTTTTCAAGATAGCCATTTTATTCAAACCAATTTTTAAAAATGAATTGGTGAAAAAATGTGTATTTTTATTCATCCGTTCAAAAGCTATAGTCATTTAAAAGTGAAGATGAATTTTAAATTATTCACTAGAACAAAAGTTATTTCATTTGTCAAATCATTGTAGGCCACCCTGTATATATGTCAACTTCTAAATTAAAAATTAATCTGTAAATGTGTTAATGTCCCTGTTACTAATTCATTGTGTGAAGTTTTAATGATTGTGAAAACCAATAAAGTGTTCAGTGTTGCATAAAGAAATGTTATATTATTATAAGCCGCGTATACACTTGTCGATTACAGCGAGCCGAACCGTTCGCAAAAGGTTCGTGTCATGTTCGTTAATGTCACGTACACACTTGCAATCCGCTCCAGAACTATTGGGAAATGCGAACCTATAGCAACCAATACCGAACTACCGTCAGTATCTTCCGAGATGTCATCCGAAGATTATGGAATGCTGGTGATGAGTGGTGCGACTATGTTAATGCCAACAAGCAAACAACTATTTTTTTGCAGTCATCGACTGACTTTTCGGCTATCTCCCTTCACCGTCCACGCATCTTCTTCTAAATGCTTTTTAAAATAATCACAATGTTTCGAGTCCCATAATAAAGCTTTACTTTTGCAAATGTCAATTAGAAGAATATTTTCTTCTACTGACCATTCCATAATAAAAAATAACTTAATACAGTAGGTAATTAGAAATTTTAAATTAAAAATATAATACGTGGCTACACAAAAAATTATATACGCGACTAAACGAACACTCGGCTAAGTGACGAACCTGTGGACGACGCTGTCCCAACTTAAACCAGGTCCGCTGTGTGTTCGTCCAAAGCCGCGTATACACTAGCGAGCCAAACCCTCGTGAACCGTTCGCGAGCCCGTCCTAATTCGGCTTGGTTCGCGTTAGGTTCGTATCAAAAAACCCGTCGGTATAAAGATAATAATGGAAATGACGTTTCATACGTTTATAGTAGCATAAATAATATTGTCAATATTTTAATTAATGTCATAATTACAAATAACTTTCCTCCCTCGTCGCTGATACTGCAACAACACCTATACTAAAACAATTTTTATTTAGTTTATCACTTTAGGAGTCTATAATTGCGTTTTTTTTTTAATGCAAACACGCATTCGAATTTTAACAGTACGCCTAGTCCGACAATAGTTTTGTAAATAGATATAGATCATCGAAAACTTGCTAAATGTACCAATCGAAGTAAATTTTTAATGTTACTGACTACTGTAATTAAAAATCTTTAAACATTTCAATTTTTCACATAGAAATTACCTTGTAAATGTTTTGAAGAATCCAAATGTTATTCAAAGACTTAAATCAGATTATTTTTTAGATCTTTCTAATAAAGTAAAAAATGTATATATAAAAATTGCCTATATAATGCGCCTTAATAAATGCTAGTATAAAGTTTTGTAATTAGTAACACAGATCTAAAAACACAAAATCGGATAAGTTATTGCAATTTGTGTCATTTATTTTTTAAATATAAATTTTTACATTTTGAATGTATTTTAAATTTTAAATACAATTTACAAAGCCGACAAAAGTTGTACAGCTTTTTGAGCCATTCATTTTAGGTAAACCAAAATAGCAAACGGAGAAGCAAATTTTTAAAAATAAAATAATACTTAATAGACAATTTGTATTGTATTTAAAGGCTTTTATATTATACGATTTTAAAATATTACAAATTTAAATAAAACACAACAATTGCACTCATTCTTTTATTTTTTGTATGTTTTTATACAAATAACTAAGTCTTATAATTAATGCTTATTCATTTTTTGGTTGCAAATCACATTTATTTGGCTTAGGATATTTTATATAAATATGAAAATATATAAATAATAAAAAAAATATTGAGTTATAAAAAATTATATTTCGCAAGCGATTTTATCATTCAGTTATAATAATTTCTGCAGTCCTGTGTCCTCTCCTTCCCCAATATATTTTGACCACTATGTTCTGACCCCAAGGTTTAGATATTCTACTCGAGTAGATCGGTCCACAGGAAAAAAATTGTCCTTAGACACATCATATCGCTGTATAGTTCTATAAAGCTTTGCAATGAAAATAAATAAATTAAAAAACAACCATTATCATTTATTTTGAGTGACCGATTTTACGTTAGGTCGTTAAATGGCTGAATTTGATGTATTTAGCGTGAACGGTTCACGGTTTAATCCTCGGCCGCGAATGAAACTTTTTGCACTATATTCAACCAGTTAATTCTTGAATTCTAACATACCTTATAAATTGATATGAGTGACTAAAATTTGATATGATTGTGAGCCATTGATTACATGACGTTTATTCAGTCATACAAATAGCCAAAAACATATATATGATTCAATGTTTTACCGCGTAGTGGAGAAAATTTATCTTTTATTAGCCTGTAGAAAGGCTAATGGAAAATAATTTTTATCATTTGATATAAATATAATTTATTTTATTACTTATAATGCCTACAAAACTAAATATTGTACATACATACATATAGATACATGTATAAATATTATTTACTATACAATATAGCAACGATATGTAGCGATACACATTTATTTATGATACATAACTGTATACTATAATTCAGAGATGGGTAGGATTATTAATTAATCACGAATTACTGGATTCTTTTTTTTATTAATTAGAGTTATCCAGGATAACAGAATTAAAAATAATCTAATTTTCCAATAGGTCGAATTAATGGATTATAGATATTCCGTCAATCTAGAAAAAAGAGAATGCTGATTAAAGTCAGATTAAAATTAATCCCAGTATTTAATCTTATAAATATTTTTAAGTAAAGATCCGATTTTTATTTATAAAATATACTGTAGGAACTTAACGTTCTTAAACATCCTGGTCGAAGCGCCCGGGGGTTTTACTTGTTAAAATTCAACAATAATTTTTTTAACCAATGAACGATTTTCTTTCGATTGAGGAAATCATTCATAACAATGTGACAACCAGAAAAATACTTTTTTTAATTAATCAAAATATAGAAAAAGTATGTATCATAAATAGGGTTCTAAAATTTCATGAAATCATTTTTTTAAAAATATTTTATGAAAGTTATTTTTTTATTAATTTAGGATTACGAGTAGTTTGTAATAACCTAACCTTTGTAATCAATTACGGATTGTAATCCAGTTTGCCCATCTCTGCTATATTTATATATTTTTTTTAGCTATTATAAGTAATAAAATTTATGAAACTATTATTTTTTATTAGCCTTTCTGACTCTATTAAAATGTGTATATTTATACTTATTTGTCATGCTTATTTTCCTTTAATAATTAATATCGTCTTAGAACAATCATTAAAGCTACATTATTAAGCCGTCATAAGGTGTATTAAAAGGTATATAAAACAATCAATAATTTCATTTAAAATTACTACTATGACTAACGTCTGCCATGTAAGGAAATTGTGTTATTAACAGTGGTTTGTCCATCATAACCATGCCTAGAGTTTTTATTTTCTTGTACGTTGTTTGGTTCAGTATAATTGATCAAATCGTTCAAGCAAATCAAACTACGTATATAAACCCATCTCTATCCGATGAATATATTGAGAAACTAAACAAGGAAGCAATAACATGGAAGGTAACTGTTATACTAATCTATAAATAATTAATGCTATTACGTTGATTAACATTGGTGTTACAATTTGAAGCTATAGTTTATAGTTTTATCTACATATAATATATATTCATAATTGTCTAATTTTAATTTGATTTTAAAATAAGATTAAATAAATAATATTTGCGTGTAACGATTATAAATATATATATATATATATATATATATATATATATATATATATAGTTGTGCTATGTAACTTTTTGATGCTTTTTATCAGGCCGGGAGAAACTTTCCTGCGAATACTACAGATGAGTTCTTAATGAACTTGTTTGGGGTATTGCCCGAACCACCGACAAGGGACTTTTCATATAGACCTAAGGATAAAGAAGAAATTAGTTTAAATCAGTATCCATCAGTATGGAAGGAAACGTTCGATGCGAGAGAAGTTTGGAAGCATTGTCAAACAATCGGACACATTCGTCACCAGGGACCATGCGGCAGCTGTTGGGTGATGCTACTAAACATTTTTAAGCTTAGAGAAATGTTAGCGAAATAGAACCCAATTTCAGTCTTCAATAATAAAACTAAAAAAATAATAAAATCTTTTATTTGAGTATTTTGTTCTTGCATTTCGAAAATCATTTTTGCTATGTTTCGGATCCAATTAATCCTCTGGGATATATAGAATTATTAATTTATAAAATGATTTTGTTAGATAAATGACGATGATAGAAAAACTTTTCAAAATATCTTATATTGTCAATTGATTCATTAAAAATAGGAAACTTAAAAACTACGGCTTTGTAAGGTTCAAACTACTTACTGAACAACAGGACAACAGAGACTTGATAGAATGGCTACTTTAAACATACTCGTACATGCATTGCAAGTCATTCTACCGAAAAACTACTCATAGATTGTAACTAATTACTATTATTATCATTTAAAAACAAGTAATATATATTTAATGTAAGCCATCTTCACTCGTACTTTTTAATAAGTCTCAGACAGAAAAATTAGTTTTTTTTAAATTTACTTTTAAACCCTAAACAATTCCAATTTTTTAAAATTCATAACCTACTCCACTCCCAAAAATTAATCTTGGTTGCGCTACTGCACATATGCTACCTAAAAATTTACAACTGTCAAAAATAAAATTCGTTCTTTTTCTTGATTTTTAATTTATACAAAAATATTTGACTACAGATTTTTATGAAAATCGTATATTTTATAGCTCCACTCAAACTTCGGTCTAATTTTCTAGGTTATTTTTAATTTTTAAAGAAGGTTGGATTTTTCAATTTTTTGGCTCAATTAAGTATCTTTTTGGTACGATTTCTGTCCTGCTACATGATGAAATTAGTTCAGTGGTTTGGGAAATACGTGGGCCCATTTCACATTCAATGACGTATTAGATTTAATTGAACTTTACTGCACGATCCTAGAATTATGGTCCAGATTGTTTAGGGCAGTGTTTCTAATCCCAGACTAGTTTATTCTAACTAAAATGTTTTTCCACCGTTTAAGTTTGTCAGTTTACAGTCAACAGTGGTACTTTCCCAAAATGTATGTCATTTACTGTTGTAGGCATTTGCGACTACGAGCGTATTTTCTGACCGCATGTGCATCGCTACAAAAGGCCAATTCAATAAAATGCTGTCGGCCCAACAACTAATTTTTTGTATTCAACATGGTACTGAATTTTATGGATGTACTAGAGGTAGCTGGCCTCATGAGGCCTTTAAGTTTATTAAAGATCACGGTATTGTCACTGGAGGTGACTACTCTTCAAATGAGGTTAGTCTTTAACACATTGTCATCAAATCAATTAAAGTCAAGCACGACCAATGTAATAAACCAGTTTTTTTATGGTGTAGGGATGCCAACCGTACAAAGTTTCGTATGGACAAAAAAACAAGCACAAATGCGAACAGAATTGTTACGGTGACACTAGCATCGATTACAAGAGCGACCACGTCAAAGGTATTTGTGTGACCAAATCTTTGGCTTCCCTATAACCATGGAATTTTGATGACTTTTAATAATTACAGCCATGGACTCGTACGACGTACACTCTAGCGATATTCAAATAGAAGTATTACAGTACGGCCCAATCACTGCGACCTTTAAGGTGTATGATGATTTTTATAGTTACAAATCAGGTGAGAGACAAAATTAACTCTTCTATCATCTAGATAAAAGGCTAATTCGAAAATCGTATACTCTAAGGCGTCTATATAAAGCAAAAAAATGCTAAATATAGGGCTGCACACGCCGTGAAGCTGATCGGATGGGGGGTCAAAAAAGGAATTCCTTACTGGTTGATGGTCAACTCGTGGGGCCCTCGTTGGGGTGATGGAGGAACGTTCAAGATCCGAAGGGGTACCAACGAATGTAACATCGAAAAACAATTAGTAGCGGCTCGGCCTGATTTAACGTATTATAGCAAAAAAAGGATAAATCCCTACGGTATGTTCTATAACCAAGGCCGCAGTAGATACGGCTACTGGTTTTTTGAAAGAAAAAGTTAAATAATTCCATTTTGGAACAAAAAAAGAAATAGCTTTATTGTAAAAGTTATCAACAGCAGTGGAGAAATTAACATAATCATGAAGTAAATCAGATCAATTTATTGAACATATACGATTCAAATCATGTAATAGTTTCTGGGTTTACCGAAAAATATTACATGATTTGAGTCGTTAATCCATTCAACACTTGGTAAGTTAAAATTACCACCTAAGATAAGGCATAATAACAGAATTTGTGGAAACCCAATCTACTCGGATCTACCCGATAGGTTTCATATGCAAACTACCTGGCGGTTCAATCGAGTTTTATCGGAAAAATTGTATTTAAACTCAACATTGTTTTTTTAATAAATAAATTTCAATCATTAATAATGTTTTTTACTTTAATTTTTACTAAAAAGTGACCTATAGCTATACAATTATTATTATTTGTATGCAGTATTACTTTTAAAACCTTATCTAAGTAGAATAAAAGTACCAAAATGATATTATTTTTTAATTAAAAACAGAAAACAGTCCTTTTTCAAGTACCTATTTTGTTAAAAGTTTAGTGGGATTTTATTAAAAAAAGAGCCTCAGTTTAGCTAGGAAAAACAGCCGATTAATTTTTATTGCAATTTTTTTTTAATGGAGTCTTTTTTTCATCAATAAACGTTATTAATATTTATTAATAATATAATATTATATTATTAAGTTGTACCCCATGTAAAAACTAAAATATTTTCGTACCCTTTAGGATATATTGCAATAGGTTAACTATAATGAAAAAACTTGTACTGTGAAATTTATACCGCATCAAAGCTAAAAAAAACAAAACCAAATATTTGTACTGTTTTATTTATTTAGATCACACGACAAAAAGAATACCCTCAGTTGAGTTTCCCACTATTCGTGTAAGAGGAAGTTATTTTCAAATAGGATATGAGATTGTAAGTTATATTATTATTTAATAATTAAAAAAATAAACTAATTTACTTAGATATAGTTGTTAGAATGTTAATTATTATTTGTTTAATAGGGTAAAACTTTTAGCAGTTTGATTAGACAAAACATAGACAATGATAAGATGTTACAGCGATCATTGCGTCAATACGATACTCCAAATGGAAAAGTCGAATATGAGAAGATAATATCGTCTGCTGAAAAGTTGTGTCCACAACAATTGAAACAAATCTATGGCATGAGTTTCGGAGCCAACATAACGGTTCATAAGGTAAGCAAAAGAAGTAGGTATTATTTTTGATAAGGTAGGTTAGTAGGTAACTATAAGTATTGAACGTAGATATTAACAACTGCGCTCCAGCGTATTCTGCAAAAATCATTTAACAAAGTAACCCACTAATTAAATGGTCAAATTTTAAAGGATTACGAAGACTGCTAAAGGGTATTTCTTGTATTCAGAGAAAGACCATTAGAAATACACCAGTCAGAAAGACCTCTATTTAATTAACAACTCTATAAATCGTAACGTTCTCATTACTAACTAGTTTATAAATAGCGTCCACTTGTCTTGAGTTCAAAACATTATTTACTAAAAATTAGTAATAGACTAAAAGGTTAGTTTTAGTGAATTTAGCTCGTCTAAAACCGTGTTTTTAGAATACAGCAAAGTCTTAAAGCTCCGGCCATAAAAGGTTCAACTATTACCAGAGTTAATGATATTTTTTTGGTTTCTCTTTTGTACATAGATATCTCTCTCGATATCCTTTATTTTACAGTGTGGGGGATATATGAAGGATATCAGATATATCTTTTGAAGAGGGGCGTTTCATTTAAATCACTCAACAAAATATTCAGTTCAGTAATAAATACATACGCACACATGATTAATTTAGAAAAGCTTTATAAAAAATTTTGAAAACATAAATATATCTGCTATATTTATAATCCATATGATTGTTTTACTTTAACGTCTGTATATTCCCCTGACTGAAACTTGAAAGGTTTTTGTCACATTTGGCGGGTTTAAGGTTAGAGCTGCCAATCTAATTCTTATCAAATATGTTTGGCACCAAAGAGGGAGATATGGGCTATTTCTTTCTTTAGGCGGTTGCCTATTCGAAGGAACAAACTGTCAGTGTCACATGTCCGTATTTTGTGGTTAAAACTAATCCTTTTTAAACAGTTATTGATTTTTGTTTTCTTCTGCAAATTAATTAAAATCATTAATAAAGTTATCGTAATGAATGTTAATTTCAGCTGATGTTGTATCAGTTATACGATGAGTTAACTGGTGGCTACGGCAAAGACACAAAAATATCAACATCAACCGTCATAAATGAAAGTAATAAAAAGGTAATAATATTAAGTTTGACAACATGATTTTTAGATTTAGTAATAATTTAGTTTTACTTTTTAAACTGAGGTTTTTCACTCTTATTTGTTTTGAATTGATCACTTCAAAAGGTCAAAATACGCGAGGCAATTTGAAATTAACGATATTTTGTTAAACTATAAAATGAACACAACCCTAGTTAAGTAGATTTTACTATATCGCACGATCCACTCAATATCTCATAGGATTTAATGAGAAATTATAATTTTTTTTTCATATTTTTTTTATACAATGAAGTTATTAAAGTTTCAAGTTTAAGGCAGGAGGAAAGGTGGAGTGTAGTATTAGTTTTATCTGCGCGCATTTCCCAACCACACTTCCCCTCCCATCCTAACTTTAAAACTCTTATAACTTTAAAAATAGTTATCCGTAACTGGTTATCGACCAGTCAAAATGTTTAGTACATTATTCTCAATTTAAAAAGTTAATAAAATATATACGTTACCATTTAAGTTTCAAAAGTTGCTATCAAAAAAACTAAGTTGGGTGGCAGGTAAAACAAAAAAAATTGAGATCACATGAAAAAAAATGTAATTTCTTATTAAACCCTCTGAGATATTGATCGGTTCAAGATAAGTGGATCACCCTGTATAAATAAAAACATTGTAGAGTTGTGTCACTATCTCAATTTTTACAACAAAAAAAAATATATGAATAAAGTGAAAAAGTACATCCGACTGTGTATTTTTAAATCAGATATCACAATCTATAATATAATTTGTGAAAAAGTTATGATAAAAATTATAAAAGCAATATTTATAAAATATAAACTTAACTCCTCATAAACACACACTTGTTTACAACAAGTTACAAAACGTACGACTCATTCTGGTAATGTTTTGAACAATAGAGTAATTATGTTACAGGCTTTAATATTTTTTGATGTTGACCTTGAAGAGAATTTTGTCAACTATTACCGGGTATGGGCTGAAGTGATACCAGCTGAAGACGAAATGGGTGGTACGTTTAAAGCAGTAAGTAGTGAATGGCTAGCATACGTAAAGGCTGGTACCCTGCCGGGACAACTGTTGACTGAGAGAGGCAACACTACAGTAACTGTTAACAGGAAATTCGGGAAAACGCTTGCTAAAAGTGATTATATTAATGTTATAATTTATTGTTATATGTTATAATGTTATATTAGTGTTATCACGGGGGTATAGTATGTGTGTAGTATATTGGAGATAAATAATGTAATATTAGATAAAACCTAGTTTCAGTCTAATTTTCAGCTCTTAAATCTTGAAATCATGTATAAAAATAAAATACAAAACCTTTCAGGGGGGCGATGGGTGGTAAAAATTAAGGTTCGAGGCGGCTTTTGAAAGAGGGGATACCTGTTTAAATGTTAATTTAAGGGGATAAATGTTTGTAAAAATGTTGTTTAAAAATGTTTCATGTGAAGTTATATCATAATAGCATACGATTTTGAATCAATAGACATGCTACTCGAGTAAATCGGTTCAATGTCCAGATAAAAATGTATCGTGTAAACTGTCACAATAAACCCCACATTAGTATCGAAGAAACGACCACAGCAATCGAAATAGTTGAAATAATTATGTGTTTAAATAATTAAGATGTTTTTTTGTTTTTTTTAATTTTTTTAAATAAAATTTCCCCTCATTTTTAGTTTTTTAAACGTTTATAAGGAGAACCCAGTTTAAAATATACAAATGTTATGTAAAATTATATTAGCTTTCTGAAAAAATTATAAAATTTGGCTAACATGAAAAAAACTAATTTTTTAGATTGTCGACTCAATTTTAATGATTTTTTTTTATTCGAAAAAATAGTTAAATATTTTTTTAAAAAAAACTGAGATTATTTTACGTAAAAAACTGATTCTTAATCATTTTAACTAAGGAATGTAAAGAAAAAAACTAAAAACTACGTTATAGGCCAGGCGACCATGGCCAAAATAATAAACAATAAAAAAAATTTTTCATGACAACGGATATACAAAGTAAGTTTCAAAAGTTCCACGGAGAAGGGAGGGGTGCTCCTCTTGACGTTTCAACCTATATTTATAAAAGTTGTATATTAGTTGCGATTATAGACCATCCAGTTGGAAATTGTTTATCATTTTAAATGCTTGTAGCGTTTTATCATGAATTCTTTTTAATTTTTTTTTCTTTCGTGGAACTGGAAGAGAATTGCTTTCGCTTTACGCATCCTCCCGTTACACAACATTTATTATTCCTGTACAATCCCTGAACAAATACTCCTTTTCGGATACAAAAATTTGGTACCTACAATGGCAGGTTCACATATTTTGACAATGTCAAATTTATTATTGTCCTTCGGCCCACAGCTAATGTAGCTAATAATTGCAATTCTATATTTCCGCCTGTCTCACTTTCTTATCATTCTCTTTCTCTGACAGGATTGCTTCGATCATGTCTATAAAGTTTCCTGTAACTTTACTAGCTTTAATTTTCAACTTCTTCCTGATCAGCATGTAATTTGGCATCATTTCTTCGACTGGGCCGCAGAGAATATTATTTAACATCATCTAGCCCCGCGGCGCACAGGTCTACGCAATGTTAAATTAATCTCCAAGCGCTCTCGTAAACGGTGGAAATACCGCGAATGTTGTTACTTTTGAAAATTTAAATACAGAAATGACATGCCCGTGTAAGCACCACAACTAACAAGATTTTTTAACTCTTGGCAGCTTGGAGGTTTAGGCTAGCCCGCATGTCGCCCAAATACGCGCAACTAAAAATTAAAAGCAAGATGCAAGTATTACTAACTGAACTATGTATTGATATATTCTATATTGAAACATTCAATTATAAACTAATTAAGTAATATTAAAACGAATACTTCAGTATTCATGCTTCATTACCTTAGCAATTTTATAATTAAAATAGTTTTTAAATATATTTTTTATTAAATTAATTTCTAGAATATAGTCTTGCACTCTTAGCCACAATAAAATAATTTTCCACTCATTAAATATTCGTTGTCCGGGACGGGTCTTCAGTCTGCCGCCGGAGAGTGGGATGACGGCTCCTTTTCACTGGACCGGACGGTTGCTCGCTCGGTAAACGGAGCGCCCAAGACCGACTGTCGAACCGGCAATAGTTAGCGCCAACACAGAGCCACCTTATCCACTCGACTACTTCTTCTCTTTGTAACTAGGTTATACGTTAAGTAATTTTAAAAAAATGACATTAAATTATATGTATCATTCACGATTGGCGTATACAACTTTTATACATAAATTTACCCAACTCTACCTATCATCTTCAAGTTAGAGTGAAAAATTAGCTTATAATTATTAATTATACAACCGTAAAACAAAATGTAATTTTAATTGTTATTAAGGTGATTTCTTTAATAAAAATATATAATTTATCTCTCCAAATATAATGAAATGGATTTTTTTTCAGTTGCTCCTCTGCTAATACCAATTCAAGTAGTAGAAATAATTGAAATGGCTGAAAAAAATAAATTTATAAAGATTGAAAAACTATTAGGTGAATTGACTGAATCGTTCTTGGAAAATAGTGGAATCGAATGGACGCGCTATAATTTGGACTTGAGCACTTTAGATTTTGTTGCCAAACGACATTTTTTAAAAATAAATATCGATATCAACTCAAGAATAACTGAGGGTAAAAAATATGCCATATGTGGAGATATATTTTACTATAGAATTAAATATGACCTTATAGATGCCAAATATAATGTCGAGCGTATACCAGTGGCTTCGAATACCCCTAATACAAAATATTGTGGTTGGAGAAATGACATTTTTAATGCAGTTACATCTTACTGCTTTGAACTGTATCTAAACAGCACGGAAAACCGATTAAGAAATGACATACAGTCAATGTCAGTGACCGGGGTACCGTATTCGTCAAGCTTTGTACGCTTAACATGTAAGTACTAGGTAATCTCTTTGAATAAGGTCTAAAGTTATTTTGTTTTAATGATTCATCTAGTGTAAGAAGACAATATTTTGTTTTGTTTTGTTATTAGTTACCTATTAATATTTAATACACTAATAGGAACTCCTTATTGGTTGTTTTTTCTACTACTACAGTAATTTCTATAAAAAAAAATTTTAATTTTTCCATTATAAGAAGTTTCTGCAAATTAAATCTACCCTATCTTTGAATCGTTGTAACATATGTATTTTAACAATAAATACATTATTAATTTTATAGGAATAGAATATGTTCTCGTGGTACAAACGTTTATGGATTCTTGTAATGCTTATTTGTATAAATTCTTATAAGGCACTGAAAGTCCACTCAATTTCAAAATATTACATATACACAGCAATACTCTCATCCCTGTGGTTAGGGGAGAAAGAATTCTACCAAGGTCATTTCATTTTGTGACACACCTTTTCCGGCCCACAATTAGCACCCAGTGCTACTAGTCGGTCCGCAGTCGTAGGGGATCACTTCGAGGCGAACCACTAAAGCCAAGGAACATCATACACAACAATACTTTTTCTTACCTAATCGGTATTATAAATTTAATATTGAGTTTATAATTTTAGTTCTTTAATCCATTAAGGTCCAACTCGGCAAACTCCATACATTTAATATATATTTAAGTATAAATAAAATTGTATACAGTAAAAATAAGACATTTAAATGTGCCAAGTGAAATTATTCTTACAATTATTTTTTTAGTGCATCTTATGGAAAAATAAACAAAAATCAATTTCTTTTTAAATGTCTGACAAATTTTTTAAAACTAATGATTTATTAAATTTAAGATTTTATTTAAAAATTAAAGATTAATAGTATTCAGTAATTTTAAAATTATAATAATAAAGATAAAACTATTATTATATTTAAGATTTTAATGATTTATTTATACTAAAATATTTCAAAATTTAAATAAAAAATAGTGAAACTAGACAATTCAGATGATATTGGTTGTGTTTAAAAGCTTATTCTGTTGGATATATAAGAGAGTGATTCTACGTGTATCCGAAGTTCCGGATAAGTTGACTCAAAGTTCGTTCGTTGCTTTAAACTATACGTGTAATCGTGAAGTTTATGAATGTTTCATGAAGTTTGTTAATTTTAGGAAAATTTAAATTAATTTTTCTAATTATGTTGCATCTAACTGAAAAGTACCAATAGATTAATTGAAAAGTATTGAATTTTATTGTTTTGTAGATATGTTACATAAAACGTAATAATCTAACTCCGGGATTACAAATATAAGCCCAAAGGTGTAATACATAGAAGAACAAACTATCAAAATACAAACATTAATAATGTTATTTACGTTTTTCAGGTGTCAAAGATTATAATGAAGGGACCATGGGTGTGTTCAAAGTCAATCCTAAAATACGCCCGTCAGGAGTTTTATACTTGCCCAACACATAGAATTGTTGTCCCAAACCTGTACACAATATTATGGCCCGTAATTAGTATATTTATATTTTTTTTTATCTATTTTTGTAAACAAAAATATTAGCTAAAATAATTTTAGTTTTATATATTGTGTACATATTAAGTAGACAAAATTATACAATTTTTTATCTACTAAAAATATGGCTTTTACCTATATTTATTTTTCTTAGTTGCCATCTTTTTTTATAATATAAATAAAATTCTGCTTCCTATACAAATCAAATTGAAAATGTATAAATAATATAAATAAACCAAATATATAAGTATATTTTATAAAATATGTAACAAAATATATATACAAAAAAGAAAACATTTTAATGGGTTATTGCTTTTATAATTTTTAACTTGAATTTGATTTTTTTTAATGTAGGCTAAATGTGCACTTGTTACTTCATCATAATACTCAAGAAGTTCGACCAAATTATCGTTATTTTTGTCGCAAATTTTACTGCTACTACCCTGAAAAGGTTAATGAGAATTAAATTCATATCAAGTAGTCTTTTTTAAGATGACTTTACATTTTTTGTTTCACAAAATATATTTATTTGGAATTTACTATCTACCCCAAAACCCAACATGAATGTTGTAAATCTTTTCATATACATAGGTATAACAAGTAATATGAGTATCAGTTATTATTATGAAGAGGAAGCCTACAATATAATAGTTTTGTGGTATTGTATTTAGACACTTTTTATAGCTAATGCATTACGATTTTTTAATAGCGTAGAATGATTTTCGGCAATCAATAACCAAAAAAATAATGAACATTTCAAATTACTATAAATGAGCTAGTTTTATTGATGCTTTCCCCTATTATTTGTTATTTGGTATATGATACAAATTCTGAATATATTTTATTGTAACAATCTTTAGTCAAACATTTTTTTATTTTTAAAACATTATAGAAATCAAGAGAATTTGCTTTTATAATTTGTTAAAGTATGCTATCATTAATATTTTAGACTATAAACCGAAATAAAAATGATATTTTTACTCAACTTTGTCTGTAACATTGTCATGCGTGTATTGCATTATGTTTTACTTCGTTAATTTCAACAAAAATATTGCAAAAAGTCCAGGAAATTTAATTATTTCTATAGGATCTTCGATTTTAAATTCAGAAATTTCTACGGAAAGTGTTGTTTTTATTATTTGGTACAAGTAATGCAGGTTTTCCTTTTTTTCGTTCTTATCCAAAACTGGCTATCGACCAGTCAAAATATTCAGCAAATTATTTTTAATTTAAAAAGTTAATCAAATATGTGCGTTACTATTTAAAAAAAACTCAAGTTTATAAGATTTTAATATATAAGGGACGGAGTTTTAATTAAAAAAAATATATTAAATTTGTCCCAACTAATAATTATAAGCTTATAAAAAAAAAAATTAAAAAAAGTCCAATAGCTTCTAAGTTATTGACTGGCCCATAGTTAACCAATCACCCGGTATTAAATATTAATACCAACGTACACTGTGTATTCTTTTTAAATTGTATGATATAAATAATAAAGGCATAATGATTTGAATTTGAATATTGTCTAATATTGTAAAATTACAAAAATAATATTGTTTTAAAAAGTAAAACTACAAAATTGCAATTTTTTTGATTTTTAAGAGAAAATGAGTGTATTGACCAAATGAATCACCCCGTATAATGAATTGGATAAGGTATGCAGAAAAAACAAACGTGTTTCTAGTAGAAGGCCATTCGTTTTCCCCTAATCAACTTGACGTCACCGATAATGTCCAATTATACAAGCTTTATCAAACCGATAAACGTCACCTATAAACAAAATAATAATATTACCTATTATTTAACTGATGAGAAAGCTTATTAATACTATTGTTATTATAAATGGTAACATATTTTACACTTTTTTAAACTGATTTAATTACTGTATTTTTGTATATTTTATGCTTACGAGTAGTTTAATGTTTCAATACACAGAATGTTATATTATTATGAGGACGTGTAACTTGTATTTTATTTTTTATTTCTAATTATTAACCTTAATCTAGGTGTTGTATTAATATTATAAGTAATATTGAATAAAATTTATAATTATTCTTATTAATGATAAAATTTAAAGTTTTTACATTTATAAAAGTAGAATCAATACATGCAAGCAGTCCCACTTGGATGTCTTGACTAGTTGGCCAACGTTTCGGAACACTTGCACGTTCCATATTCAGGGCTGTGGACTTAGGTCTACAGGAGAGCGCGGTGCGAGCAACATCGAAGCACTGAAGACCCACTCAAGCTTCAATGATTTCTTAAAAAAAAATTTGTTTAATTTAACTTATAATGAATTATGTTTAAATAATTAACTTTAAAGAGTTTGCAATTCATATAGTTATCATAAATCACACGAGAGAAAGGTTTTTTTATTTTAATCATTTTTACATGTTTACACTTTTAGTAACGATGATACATATTTTATTTTATTTCGTTGATAAAATAAACTAGTGTTTATTAAATTGTAATTATTGTTATAAATAATTAGGTTTTTATTTAATCAACAATTATTTATGTCCATTAAAACGTTGTATACCTACTTATGTCAAAAACAAATTATAATTATTATTTATGCAATTTTTTACATTTCCCAATTAAATTTAAAAGAAACATTTTATTTACTAACATAGTACAATTTACCAATCAATTGTAGCACATTTTTTTTAAACGTCAACTACTTTGAAAACAACCGAAAATTAACTACAATTTTAAATAATGTGAATATATAACTAATTTCATTCATTAATTTTGGAAGATTTGAAAAAACATGGAATTTTAGTGAAATGACCCCACATATGACCCTGTGTAGGGCGACCAGAATGTCTGAGTCCCAATATTATTACAGGATATTGTATTGTCATCCGAGATGAGTGTATGTGCTAAGTTTCAGCCATCTACGAGAAGTAGGTTAAATTATTTTGCAAGATTACGGTACGTGTTAGTGAGTTAAAGTAAAGCATGTAATTATAATTATTGCCTGTTGTCAGTTGTCGTAAACCAGAAATTATATTTCTTGATGCTCTTTATATTTTTGATAGTTGTTACTAGCCTTTTTTTATAAACGGAGTACGAGCAGTGAAGAAATGACTCATTGAATGATACTTTTTTTCACGATAAACCGAATTTTTTTTGTTTATTCTTCAAAATTAATGTTAATATAGTTATAAGTTAAATTTTAAGTTGTTCTTATTACTAGACTGTATTATTAATTTGAGATATTCTTGTATGGTATAGATTTGGTAAATTTTGCTTAAACTACGTTTTATCACACCAAAATCTCCATCACAGTTTAAGCTTGAATGTCTTCTAGTTGAGATACAATGTTCTACTATTTTAAATCTACCTGTATCGATCAAAGCTTAGCGAACATCTAACGACGGTATTATTTTTTATTGTCCAGGACAGTTGTGACTAAATAATCCTAATTCTTTAACTTCAAGTGGACCACATTTGTCGTAAGACAAAAATAATGGTGATAGAGTGACTCTGTACTCTGGATGTATACACGCTGGTTGAACACTGGTACTTGCCAGAGCACTAGAGTATAACGGATTGCTGTTCGGGTTCTTCGCGGATGTCGAAGAGCCGTTGTTTACACTGGATTAAAAATAATTAGAGATAGAGAAAGGATAGGTACAAGGTTCGAACGAATCGCAAGACACGAGTACCTAAGGAAATGTAAGCAAACACGGTGCGAACGAATCGCAAGACACGAATACTTGGAGAGATGAAGGAAGGATAAAGTACGAGGTGCGAACGAATCGCAAGACACGGGTACTTAAAGAAAGGAATGTGCACTGTGCGAACGAGTCGCAAGACAAGTGCACGAGGAAAGAGGATAGACTACTAGGTGTTAATGAACGAACTCTCGAACTTAAACCTTGTAGACGGACAGCGACAACCAAGTACTCTTGACTGATGACATATGGCTACGGTAAAGTTGACTGACGAAATATCATTGAATTTAATTGTCTTTAATATTGTTTTACAATTTGAAATTAAGCGTTATTGTTAATTTAATCGTTTGGTCATCAGTCTCAAGTCGCCGGAAGCACTGCCCCCATTTATTTAAAAAACACGTAACCTATATTGATGACGTGGTCATCATATAACACATTGTTGAATATGTATGAAAATGTACACACTTCTGTTCATAACACCTTTGAATTCCTCGCCTTTTTTTTATGAAAACACATCGCGTCTTCAGATTTTATATTATGAATACCAAATAAATTAGCTTTAAGCTGACGAAGGTAAAAAATATTTAGAACATATTATTAACTGTTATACTTTTTCGGTGAGATGAAATGCAAAAGAACCAAAAATATTTTACAATCTAAAATGATATGGTTTTATATTTTCTTTAGGATGATGCAAAATGTAATTAACACTTTTATTAGTGTAATTCACAATAACTAAAAAAAAAAAATATTATGTTTAGTATGAGTTTGTAAAAGTAGCATAAAAATTGTCTGCAGGCCTATATGAACTATTTGCAATGATATCATTAATTGTTTATATTTATTAATATTAATATCTTCTTCCCTAAATTATAGCGTCCGTGCTAATTTCACAATTGCAGTTAACTTATACTTACCCGTTGCATGTATGAAGTTTGGTGAAAAGGGCAATACATTTTTTGACCCCAACTGTAGTTCGATTTTCATTTGATCTTCTAACCAGTCAAGATAATTTTTGTAGCAGTTGAAATTATCATCACAACTTAGTGTATTTTGTTCGATGGACATAAAAGGGTGAATTTGGACGCGATTTTGAGGATCTATAATATTATATTCAATATGTTTAAACTACTTCCTTTAAATTACGCTAGTTTTATACCTTCGGACACTTGTGATTCAACAGACATATTTAGTTTATAAAATAATAATTTAGCTTTACTAGAATGCGTCAGCGCTCTTACTTCCAAGCTATAATGCGTCCATTTGATTCCACTGCTCTTTAAGAACTAAGTGCTTGATTTATACAATGATGATTCAATTTGGCTTTTATCTTTACCGTCCTTTGATAATGCATCTATTTCTTTTTCTACTGCTGCTGCTTGAATTGGTATTAGCAGAGGTGTAACTAAAAAATCAACAATTCGATTGTTTATATTTTGTAGATAAATAAAGCATTTTAAACTAAAAAAACATGTGAAATAACAGAATCCACAGAAATAGTTATTAGAATACAGTTCTAATAAGTATATCAGATAGTATACTGTAAAAAAAATGTACTTTACTACAACCTGAGAGTTAAATCGAAAATAGCGGGTACAATTATATGGGGTCGTGTCCGTCGTCTATTTCCTTAAAAATATTGGGGTCCCTCCCTGAGGTAAGACTAACGAAAATCGGCGCCTCGACCAAATTGTAACGTGTCTGCTTAGCTAGTTGGCTAGGCTAGGCCGAAACGACAGTCGATAGGGTTAAATTAGTGGACCCGAAGACGGGACGGATGGCTAGGCCGTATCTACACTTCAATATCCCTAAAATCTCCTTTGTATACTTGCTATATCGCCTGAGGAGCTTAACAGGCGATCGTAACCTAACTCTAAATAACCTAACTCTCAAGTGTGCAACAAAACGAAAACAGGTTTATTAAATAAGTAAAGCTATGTACATATATATTACACCTCTACCTGGATCCTAAAGCGTTCTCTGTAGTTAGTCCAGGTAATGGTGGAGTTGAACGGACACACGAGTACGGGTAAAGTTAAAAGAAATATAAAATAGTAATGTAACGTGAAATAATAGTTAATGGCTTTAGAATAATTAGGTCGTGGTCCGAAGATGGTAGTATGTCAACTAACTGAGCATCGGTGCCCCTGGCATTGTCCCTTGTGTCTGTTGTCTATAATGGCTTACATGCTATTGAATATAATTAATATTGTTTATCTGGGTCATGGAATATAAGTAATAAATATTATATAACCTTATATGGTAGTATATGTGTACACTGAAGAAATCATGAGTAATATTTAAGTTGTTTTATACAAGGACCAATTACGTCTGTAACCTAGATTGTATCGTATATAAGACATAGTATTAAGGTGTTGGATTTACCATTCTATTACGGCTGCTGTTATAATTGAAACGTACGTTGTATATATATATTATTCTCTATACTGTGTGTGTTTTTATATTTAATAGTATTGTGTTAAACATATTATTGTTGTGTTTTATTTTCTACTAAAATACTAACTTCCACCAAGATATACAGGCGTATATCGCAATACATGCTAATCGGGGTAAACTGCTAATAATGCATATTTGGAGGCGAGTGGTAACGGGCGGCTAAATGTGACCGTTACAGCACTTTGATAACTTCTTTAAAATAAATTCAACAACGGAAGTAGATAAACAAGAAGATACCATATATTATACACTAGAATTGGGATTATCAAATCTTAACTTAGAAGAAGAACAGTACGCGATTTAGATTCTAAAAAAATATTAAGTCACCAGGAGAAAATAAAAGTACAGCTGAACTATTGGACAAGGGAAAATATATCACTAGAATGAAACAATAATATGTCAAATTTTCAAAAAAGGAAACCGACAAAAAGTTTAAAAATTACAGGATTAAATAGAATAAAAACTCTATAAAGATTTTAATATTCCACTTAACTAATTAACATGATACAGCAGTCGAATCACGGCAAACAACGAGATATCATCTTCGTTTATGATTAAGAACGGATTGAAAAAAAGTTTTTCAGCCGAGTCTGCAACCATGAAAGAGCATTTTCATGTTTCGTTGGTGTACCGAATAAATTTAGATTAGTTGTGGAATTATAATTTTAAAAAAAAATTACATGGAGCTTCCAGTTACAGCATAAGCCAAGGAGATTAAAAAATTATGTACAATCAAGTTTCTGGCTAAAATTGTAGTGTTTATTATCTGGCCAAAAGTAACTTATTATAGAGAATTAAACTATTTTGAATTTATTATTTAGGTTTGTTTCAATCATGCGCTTCGAATGACAAAGAAATGTTTGGATGCAGATTCTAAGAGAACACAATAAGAATACTGCTATCTACAGATTCGCATTGTATAGTTTTATTTATAATAGTTTTTTCTACCTACAGATATTAATTTAAAAACAAATAATAATGATTCAGAAATATCTGTGTCAATATAGTTGTTAGCCGACGTTTCGGACTCTGTGCAAAGACCGAACATCGGCTAACAACAGCTATTAACACAATATCTGAAAGTTATCCACGGGATATTTTAACCAGCGAAAGCTTAAACATATTCAAATAATAATCTTTTTATATTTGACGGTGTAAAACCTGTATAATAATACGTTATGGTAGTACTTATTTAAAAAACTCTTATTGTTAAGTCAACTAGTAAATACCTCTTGTTTAGATGAATTAATGACTAGTGTTGATGATCCCCTCGTGTCATTGCCGTGGCCTCCTATTAATTCGTCAAATAGTTGATATAAAATTAGCTGAAATGGATAATATTTACAAATGAAGCGGTTTTCACTATAAGGGCGTCTGATTTTTTAAATTAAAGCAATCAAATATCGCATATATATATATATATATATAAAATAAGCTACATATATTTTTTTAAAGAATATTACGATGGATACTGGGCCACTGTGACACGGTACCGCTGACTTTGTCAACGACCGTGTCGTTTTGGTCTCGCCGCCCTCCGCTTCTACATGCGATAACTGGTGGACGAACATCGCCCCACCTGTGCGACCAGGATCAAAGTCCGTCCACTCGGAACGGACCGACTAACGGCTGTCGCCGACTGCCCCCGGTCTGTTCGGTTTTCATCTCGCCTGCGGAATCACACTTCCGCCTCTTTGTCCCACATAGTCCCATCTCACAATAATATATATGTTTTTTTTTATCGGTTAGTAGAGAACATTAATAAACGGGCTTACGCCCAGTACCACGGACAAATAATTGTGTTAAGTTTTATATTTATTTTTATTATTGACCTTTGTCCCTTATTTTTTTAATTTGACGTGCGATCCGCTAAACGGATCTCCGTCAACCGCCTTCATTAATGGGAACATATATTAATTACTACATTAATGTTGTATATTATATCATGAGTCTACATCAGTATAGTACAAACCAAGTATAGTTTAAACCAGTACAGTAAGAAATTACCAGAGTAGGGTCCAGTCTCCACACATTCGCATCGAAGGGTTTTCTTTAATGTGATTTTATATTTTCTCCATATAACTTGATTTTGAGTACTAGACTCTAGTCTATTTTTTTTTTTTTTTTTTTAATATACCTAACGTTATGTGTTTTTCTTCAATTGACACTTTTATTTAGGCTCATCCTTGACCACAATTTTTAAAAATAGCCAATCATTATATAATATAGATAATTGGTGTAATTACTAATAATTATCAAAGTTTAATAAGAACATTTTTCTGGGAATAATAAATCATACAACATCTCACATAACTGATAACATTATAATTAAAACATTATTAATAAAATTAACGAAACTACATTTTCAACGATACATTTTCACTATCTTATAAATGCAACAAATTTGTCCACACTCAGTTTGTTTTTAATTTTAAACTCTTAAACCAGTCTTGATCAAGAACATGTTTTACATCATTCCAAACAAAATGAGTTGGCATATACTGATCCTTTTTTGCATACAAAAACTTTTTACTTAATTCTATAGCAGCCTTTGATGATACTAGTCCCACTGAACCGTATTTTTCACTTGCCGGATGATAGACGCGACCATTTTCTACATTCATCCAGAGTTTGTTAGGTTGAAATGGTACTGTCAATTTAGAACCTGCGTGGTTGTGACAGAATAAAAGGCCACTTTCATCTTCGATTATATGAGTAAACACAACTGGATAATCATCACATCGAACATAATTGCGTTCTCTACCACACAATGAAAGCCAAGGAAAGTGTTCATTGTAACGGCTGATGGTATTTCGTCGAAGACGCTTGAAGAAAAATACTATAAAATCAATTTCTTGAAACATGCAAATGAAAAATTAATAATTATTAAAATACTTCCATATTCAGAGTGCATAATTTGTATTTAAAATATAATTTGCATACCTTTATATGCTGATGTAAAATTTTTCATTTTACTGTCATCCAAAAAGAGCTGAAAAAAATAATAAAACTGCCATTTTATAAAAGTTTAAAATGAACATTGTAGTTCAATCAATTAAGTTAATAAAACATTGTGTATAAAATAAAATTGTAATTATATACCTATCGTAATATTGTAAGTATTTTTTAAAAACATTAGAAAATGCAAAATATTTTGAAAAAGCTATTAATAATAGTTAAATCCATGAAATATGCCAAATTTTATTACAAGTTCACACTATTTATTAATGAATAATATCAGTAGTATTTGTAATTGTACTTCTATTTGTAATACTTAATACAAATAAATATGCAAAATGGATCCCAAATAACTGCAGCAAACCCCAAAGTCGATCTAACAAACACACAGTATAGAGCTTTTAGCAGAGCTACCCTCTTGATTTCTCTACAAATCCTTTTTAGAAAACCAAAAGTCTTTAGAGTCTTAAAAACAAGATGCTTTGATATAGGTATGAAAACTCAATTCCTGGTCCATAATTATACCAAGATTTTTGGTCATATTACGAGTGGAGGTAAGTGAGAAACCACCCAGTGAGTAATAAAACTCCAGTGGCAAGCGTTTTCTATAGAATGTCATTGAATGACATTAATGACATAAAACCAAATATTTCATCAAATAACTTAATAAATACATATTTACAAAATTGTAGACAAAACCAAATTTACCATTCCCTGATGATCAATGAAATAAAAATATTCTCTTATTTTGTTTTCTGGAGATTGTCCTTGAATATAATTGACCGTTGAACAATATTTTTTGAGAAGCATTTGAATATTTATAATTTTAATATCTAAACTGTGAAATTTGTACAGTGTTTTGTACATTTGTACTACTTTTAATATATTTATAAAATGTAATTACATTAATACGTAAAACTTAAAAAATTTTTAAAAAACCTTTGATTAGATCATAAACATGACGGTAGATAGGTAATTTAAATATCCCTTATTATTTTAAATAAAATGTAATATTATATTAAACACTTTGTCTATATCCTCGACCAGTCGGGTATCAATTATATCACCGACCGCCGTGATAACATATGCGCGTGCGCGGGAATATAGGTATAGACATTTTTCAAAAAGAATAACAAGAAAACTCTATTCTGATACCACTTATAAATTATTTTGTGTTTTTGTATAATGTAATTTACAGTTATAAGTAGATATTATGGGCCAAGTTTCTCAAATATTGGACTTATGTGCCATCTTCAGCATGTTCCTCGTATGATTCATTTTGATTTATGTTTGCGATAATTATCATGTTTTACAACACAAATAATTTGACTTATCTTTAAAACTGTGACCTCCTCCTAGACTGTAGCCAGCAAACCTATATTTTTAGTTAGCGGAGCAAAGCGACGGCGCCGAGCGAGTGCCAAAACATTATGTGGCCTGCCGTAGAATAGTAGATTGAAGCTATAAACTACTCAACTTAAACCTGTTAACTCCTAGTAGAGTATACATCGGTAAAAGAAGATTTGGTCGGCTGTTTGTTGAGGTGCCGACCACATGATAATGAAAAACACAAGTCCCCACGCACGAGCATTTGTTATCACGGCGGTCGGTGATATAATTGATAACCATAGATATATATAATAAACTAGATTGCTAACTGTTCATCAATAGAGAAGATTGAAGCAGCCACTTTCCGCCATTTCGGTGGGAATTAGAACCTTATGACGCGAGAATAATATATGTTTATAACAATCACATATATATATAATAATATATACAGATATATATTATATGACACCCCCTGGCTTAAAAAAATGTATTTATTATTTTTTATTGAGACGCATATCTACAAATACAGTTGTAGTAAAATAAGTATTTTTAAACTCGTGGCTAGAATGTTTTTTTCCAAATATGTTTGTGGTCCCTACCATTATGTTGGGCATCACACCCAACAAAATTGATACACGTTTGAATTTGCGCCAATGTGAATGAATTTTTAATTGCAACAGATTATACAAATAAGATAACATTGAGACCGTGTTGGACTTTGTGCTCGATGACAACTGCTTTGTTTTTACCCCTAGTCCATAATATACAAGCCCGGATTAAAACCTCAACAGGGGCCGATATTTTGTTGTGGGCCCCCTACAACTAAAAAAGAATATGTATACATAAATTGTCACTTGAAAAACTATGGGCCCCGGAGACGTGGCCCCCTGCCCCCCCCCCTTAATCCGGCCCTGGTAATATAGTATAATTAACTAACCTAATGCCTATAAGAATTTAATAGTTATAAGATGTCTGCAAATAATTACTAACGCAACGTAGGTCGTAGGATAATTTCCTTACTCCATCCCTATAAAACTTAATAATTTTAACAAGCTACCATGGCTTAAATATATAACAACATTAGCTTAGCAACATTATTCATTGCCCAATGGCCAGTGGCCACCCGCAGGCCACGAACAACCACTTTATTATTAATCATGTGTTTGGCAGTATCGGTGATAATATATTGATACTGATAACTGATAAGGTAATCAAATACAAAATTAACAAAAACAGAAGTACAAAATACAAAGATGAAATGATCAAAATTAATAATTCAAATTATTGTGAAAATGTGTTTTCTTCCTTTCGAAAAATAATAGTGACATCTCTTGCATCTATTACTTGTACTTCTCCGTTAGTTCGGAACGTTCGCTGTGCTATGTAGGTATGGGAATCTATACAAATATACGTTTAGTCAGTTTTACATTGGTAATGGAACAAATATCTTTTTAGGTCAACATTGTGTCCATTTGCAATGGTTAAACCATAAACCGTAATTTAAGAATAGGCTACTTAGTAAAAGATGCAGTATGTTAAATAACATCGGGAAATGCTTGCCATGTTTTGCATAATATTACTGTTGTTTGTTAACATACTCGGGGTAACACGGTCTATCGATGCACCTTGTGACAAGTCTAGAGCTATTCTTTCTCAGGCTAGTGGCACCATTACGCATGGACCTCCAGGAACAAACTACTCAAAAAACACACATTGCGAATGGCTCATAAAAGGTAACAGTAAAAGTGTAGTATTCTTCACAGATACCTGTCAACTAGGTGTTAAAATTACTAATTATTGTTATTTCAACAAAATCACCTTTGTTAACACGTTTTAGTTGTTTATTTGATAATTATAAAATTATTATGCATTATACAATTTTTATAACTTTCATAGATTGTAGAATTCTTTTTGTTTTTTTAAATGTCTCTAAAATGCGTAAAGTAAAAAATGTTGAGTCCACCATAATGTTATAAAGTAATTAAGTTTTTGACATTTTGTTATTTTGAATTTTTAGCAAACAGTACAAATCAATTTATCACATTGGAGTTTAAATCTTTAAGTACAGAATGCTCTTATGATTATGTATTTATTTACGATGGAGATTCATTCAATTCGCCACTTCTGGGAAGTTTTAGTGGAAAAAACCAACCACAGTCAGTCTTGGCCTCATCAGGTTTTGTAAGTAAAACTATAAACTTACTATTTTGAAATAATTTTTCATATTAAAATTGTTAATTCAATTTTGATACACATTTAAAAATATTTAAAACAAACTAATTTCTTTTGTTAATCAATGTTTCAGATGTTAATATTATTATTTAGCGACACCAATTATGCTTTAGAAGGCTTTGAAGCATCCTACTATGTTTCTGATTGTCCCAGAAATTGTTCAAGTCATGGATTTTGTCTTCGCAACTTCTGCGTTTGTGACAACGAATGGGGTGGACCTGACTGTGGTACAGAACTCTGTCCTGATAAATGTGGTGAACCTCACAGAGGAGTATGCAAACAAGGGCGATGTCACTGCCGCCACAGTTATTCAGGAATGGGTTGTACATTGAACAGTACCGATTCAACCGGAAACAGGTAAAATAAAATAATTTATTTTTAAAGTTTTTTTGAAGAATACAAATTCAAATCTATTACTTTTTTTTCAGATGGCATGATTTGTACCAAGGCGGTATACATCCAAGAGTTGCTCATTCCGCAGTATATATTTCTGAGACTGATTCTTTATATGTTTTTGGTGGTTATAATTTAAATAACATTCTTGGTGATCTTGTCGTCTTCCATTTCAACACTTCTATGTGGTATGACCACAACGACAATGTCATAGGTAATCTTATAAAATATTTATCACTTCTGTTGTCGCTCTCAATTAAAGAAAAAAACTTAATTTTATTAATTTTATTACATGCATAGATCCTTTGCATACATCAGTAAATTCAATTGGGTCTGCTACTATAAATACATTGATGACTGCAAAGTTAGGAGAAACCAAAAGTGGGACAAACAAATTAAAATATCTGTCTACCGATAATAAAACTAGTGATGTTGTTGAACAAAAACAAAATAAACCATGGTCAGCTGTATTGCATGATATTTTTGTTTCACTCGCTGACGACTCAACATTTCTTGAACATCAAAATGAGGTAGTTAAGTTCGAATTATTTATTTTATGATAATATGTACTCCTATTCCTAAATTAATGATTCAATTTTATCTTTTCTTATTGTAGAATATTCGATACTCTCCTAATGAATTAAGTTCTCGAGAAAAAGATGAGTACCTAGCAAACGAGATTAAACATAAACGAATTCCTGCCTCTCGTTTTGGCCACGCAGCAACAAAGTTAGTAATACAATTTGTAATTTCTCATAGTTGATAATTTATAAAACAATTCTAATTAATTTCAAGGTATCCTGGAGGATTCCTCATGTATGGTGGAAAACTAAAAAATGGTCTTCTTTCTGGAGAATTATGGTTTTACAACGTACATTCAAAAGTATGGTCTTTGCGAGCACAAAACTCTATCTTGCAACCTCCTGCTCTTACTAGGCACACATTAACCTTTGTAGAACATACAAATAGTGTTTACCTAGTTGGCGGTAGTAACAGTAAAGGTTATTTTTCATCGAAAATATTCACCATAAGCATAAATACAGGTAAATAGATAAATAATGAATATGCAATATTTTATTCAGTAATTGAAATATCTGTAAATAAATGTTAAAGTGTTTTAACCTTTAGTTAAACTAAAGTTAATGTACTATCAAAATACTACAAAAAGTTGAAAATAATCAATAATTGTTATTACATCACGTTGATGACTTTCAGATATAACCGTGTCAATAGTTGTTAGCTGACGTTTCGGATTCTTTGCAGAGTCCATCTTCAGGGCTGTGCTAGTCACGACTGTTCTACTGCCATGGTATATGAGAACTATATGCAAAGAGTCCAAAATGTCGGCTAACAACTATTGATACGGATATATTTGAAAGTCATCCACGTGATATTTCAATCTGTGAGAGCTTCAACACATTCATAAGTTAATACTTTATGTTTTAGATAATGAAAAGGAGCAATGGAAAGAGGTGAAACCGAGAGGTGGTAAAGAATTAAATTACCGAGTAGCAGCACATTCTACAGTTTATGACGTTCGGACACAATCTCTAATAATTTATGGTGGCATTGTAACAAGTACATCATGGTATTCAAAACTTAGTGATTGCATGTTTATTTTTAATATACCATTGAAACATTGGTCTGAAATAAAATTCCCTTTGTCAAATGTTCCAACTGAACGGGCTTTTCATTCAGCTAACATAATGGGTGAGAATCATACCATTTATATTATATGTATCTAGTTACATTAGTTTTGTGTAAAACATAAATAATGGAGCATGCTTAGAAAAAAGTACAAAAAATACTTTGGTTATTACATTTTTATTAACAATATTATATTCAGGAAATTACATTGTTGTTTTTGGCGGTTACACACATCATCATTCTAAAGAAGAAATTTGTTATGACAATGAAATTTATTTATATCATCTTGGCTGTCATACGTGGCTTAGTCGAGATGTGCTTGGTACTACAGTCAAAGGTCGATTGATAATATTTTTGTTAATAAATAGTTTTATGTAACTCAATTTTTTTATTATAGATTTTACACATAAAAAAATAAATGGAGCATTTGGTCATGCAGCAGATGTTCGTAATGGAAACACTCTAATCCTAGTTGGTGGTTATCGAGGAAATATTGTTTCTGATTTGTTAGCATTTGTTTTGCCACCTACATTAGTTCCAACTGGCAATGATTCATACCATTTAGAACTTATGTGTTCAAGGTAATATGACCAAATCGCTATCATTTCCTTTTATTTTTTATAAACTTCATCAAATACCTACTATCTATAATTATACAAATAAAAGATAAATTAAAAATATAATTTGATTTTTTTAAATTAGACATAAAGGTCTTCAAGAATGCACTGCTAACCCTGAATGTGGATGGTGTTCATCTGACGACACCTGTTATGGACGTCACGGCGGAATAAATTGCACAACAAATTTACAAACAACTCGATGCCCTGGTATTTGCCAGGCATTGACTGATTGTCATTCGTGTTTAATCCATGGTGAAAGTAGTCCTAATAACAACAACAATCAATCTACTACTTCAATTGCTCATATTATGCAGTTGGGTCGATGTGTTTGGTGTATTCAAGACGGCCGCTGTCATCATAAAAATGGTAATGTTACATTGTTATGTTACAATGATTAATGAAAAAAAAAAAATTGGAGATCCATATTCTTTAACAAATTTTAACTTGTATTTTTTCTATACAGATAATTATGAAGTATGTGGCCTACATAACAGTATGTATAATAGCGGTGGTGCAGAAGTGGCTAATCCAGATGACTGTAGATCACTTGATAGAAGATTAGGATTGACATTTTTCAAATATCTGCATCCCGCTAATTATTCACACCCAGACCTAGTACGTGATTTATTTATAATTCACTTTCAGTTATAATAATTTCTATAGACCTGTGACCTTCCCATCCTAACTATATCCTAACTGTACTATCTTTTTTAAAAATGTTTTTATTTTTATATAAACAATTGTTTAGGTGTCTATTGTAAATACTAGTGTAATTGATGTTTCATCTCACATACCAATTTTGCGTACTGAAATAGCGATCGGTGGCACAATGGTTGTGCGACTTTCTGGATTTCTACGGTTTCCTCAAATTTGGGATAACCATAAAGACCAATTGCAGTTATGCTCACGATATACAACTACTAGCCTAATTATGACATCTCCTTATATGTATCAACCAGTAAGTGAATTAAAATGTTTTTAAGTGGTCACTGGATTTCAAATCTGCAAATAGTTAAAGCCAATAGCAAAGTGTCATAGGAGACAAAGAGACAATGTCTACCCACTTAAAATACGGACAAATAATATGGTTCTATTATATGCATATAAAATAATTTTTTGCTAATTTTAATGTAAAAATATTTGTAATAGTATTCTTGAAATAGAGTAGTTGTGGACGCCGACTACTGCTCGCGCTGCCGGCCGCAAGGTCTATCCTGATGTAGTATAAAAATAAATGAGACAATTTCAAACTTGTCTCTTCTGCCGGGCACGATATGCAGGGGGTATTGGAAAATGATGGGGGGTTACTATGCGTTATAAGACATGTCTCGCCATTCATATTGTTTCGGTATCAGTTATCAACGTACGCCGCAGTTTTTGACAATCGTTGTGTTGTTAATTGACATTTATGCCATTTAGTTTCTAGTTTTTGAACATTTTTTACAGTATAGATAAAATAAAACAGACAGGGGGTCCAAGGGGGCGCAGTCCCCCTGTCAAGTCACTTAACACAATTTTTATTTAATGTCTCCCCTATCTAAAGACCCACGCCTCGCCACTGGTTAAAGCACTTATTATTTGTCAGGCATACAACCCATAGAAGTTTTGATTAATTAAAAAAAAAACTTTTTTAAAATATTTAACAAAATTGTATTGTTTAAATTTTAGGAAATTAACAAAACACAGAAAACTGACAACTGGCAGTGCTTACCGTTATCATCTTGGTCCACTGATGATCAACCATTTCATGCTCCAGAAAGATATTTATTAGATTTGTCAGCTTACAAGAATGTATCTTTTACTATAAATACTGGTGCTGCTCTCGTGGAACTACAGCATAACAAAGGACACAATAACTCCAAGGTTATTACAAATGTTTTATTATTATTTTATTTGTTTTATTAGAAAAAAAAAATATATATTTATATTATTATTAATGTTTCAAATAGCCCTTTACAATAGAATATTTAGAACCATACCATAGTAGAGATAGTTCAACTTGTGCCGACTACAAAAACTGCCTCATATGTGTTAGCGACGCTAATTGTGCTTGGTGTGATCTAAAATCAGTTTGTACCACAAGAAACCAAACAGATTCTGAATTTTGCCACAATGATAATGACGTTAATGATTGGAAGTATTTAGTCATATCTCCTCAGATGTGCCCAAATTGTTCAAATCATGTTAATTGTTTGGACTGCGTACAAAATGGTTATTGTGAATGGTGGAGCCAAGAAGCTAAATGTGAACGTCGTGGAAGGTGCTTATGTTATAATAATTATGTTTATTTATTTATATAAAATTTACTGACCTAGTTCTAGATGGATTACTTAAAATGTTTATTTACATGGAACTAACTCAACATTTTTTTTTAAAACCAAAAATATGAAGTTATCAATACTTCATGTTAAAGAACAATACATTTTACGTTAATCGAACTATTGTGCAAGACAAAAATAATGCTTTAAAAATTTACAAATTTTATTATAAACAATTGCTTAACAAGTTAAAACGTTTAATAAATTATTTAGGTTGTCTGAAGGTGTAGTCTCCGTAGAATCATGTCCCAGTCAGTGTTCAGAGAGGCGTTCATGTTTTGATTGCTTAGATAATGATCGATGTGTTTGGTGTCGCGCAACAAATGTAAATATATTGCTACAAATATGATGTAAAAAATTAAACTATTTTTAATGAAACCATAATTTAGGAATGTTTTCACTTTGCTGAATACACATCAGAATATCAGTTTGGACGTTGCCGAGAATGGATTGATCGTAGCGTTCACTATACTGAAACAGGACAAATAGAAGTTGAAAAACCTATATCTACATGTACGTCATGTGAAAAAAATACCAATTGCTCTGACTGTTTACAAACTTTAGGCTGTGGCTGGTGTTACGATGACAATAATCCAATTCAGGGAGTTTGTACTGAAGGAGATTTCAGTAACCCATTAATAGGTAAATTCTTTTTTTTTTTTTTGTAGAGTTGTTTTTTTTTAAGTTAATAAATAACATTTAACTGAATGAAATTTTTTATAGAGAAGTGTTCTTATGTAATGAGTAACAGTACATACGAAGAAGACAGTAGTTGGGCATACGCACAATGCCCTGATGTTGATGAATGTGGACTTGGACTACATGACTGTCACAAAGAAGCAAAATGTACTAATACTCAAGGATCATATAGCTGTCAATGTAAAAGAGGTTTTATTGGGGACGGAAAACATTCTTGTACTAAAACGTAAGACCTTAAAACTAAAAATGTTACATTAGTTTTTATGGGCAAAAATTTACAGCTGCTACCATAAATGTGTGAACGGTTATTGCATTGGCGCTCCAGAGTATACTTGTAAATGCGATCTCGGGTGGACTGGGCCTGACTGTGCAATTAACTGCGGTTGTAATAATCATTCCACGTGCTATAAACAGCCTGGGATATGTGATCAGTGTCAAGATTGGACCACAGGATTGTTCTGCGAACACTGCAAGTAAGTATGGAAGCAGAGCAAAATTTATGTTATCAACATTTTAGGGCCATTTATTTATTATTATTATTATTTATTTTAGGGCTGGAAGCTATGGTAATGCTACTTCAGTTGAAGGATGTCATAAATGTGACTGTAATGAACACGGAGACGAACAACTTGGAATTTGTGATTCTATAACTGGGAAATGTTATTGTAAACATTATACTGAAGGGGACAATTGTCAAACTTGTAAAAAAGGATTTTTCGGAGATCCAAAGTAGGTTTTTAACATGAAATGCCAATTTAATTTGAACCACAATCCAGTACTTGTTAAATTATTAAATTCTATTTGACATTTATTCTTTTATATATTTAAGCTTTGATGCGGAGCCAAGACAGTTAGGTTTCACAATAATATGATTTTAGTTTTTGTTTTTATTTATCTATACCCCCACTAATTTTTCAACCACTAGATCAATTGCTTCGTGTAAAAGTCTATCAGTTAGAAATTGTTTATCCTAGGTACATTATTGGGACAAAAATTTAAAAAGTTTACTCCATAATTGTATAATTGAGAAAATATTCACATTTTCAACTTAAAAATTATAGTACTTTAGTGTTTTGGTTATTATAATAATAAAGTTAAAACAATTAATTAAATTAGAAATGAAAATGGAATCTATTTACACTTAATAAGTTACAAATAAACTACTAAATTATTTACATGTGAGATACACTTCGTGCACTGTACTAAATTCACGATAGAACGAATGAGTAAATTGACGAATGGCGCGGTATCGGTACACACCGGTGTATCTAGAATTATCTAGATAATGCTCCTGTCCGATATATGGAATGTTCTCGGACCTTCGCACGTATGTGTTTTATATTGCCTATCCGTCACGAAATTTCCAAAACATTTCATATGGGTCACTACAGAACGCTATATATTTTTAAAAAAAACCAAAATCTTCCAAATTTTAATGGTGTGTTCTTTAAATAAAATACCACTAGTATCAAGAAATATCATTAACTCATTCCCTTTAAATAGAAAAAACTTATTTTTAGTTTCGCTTTTTACTTAAGATCTTAAAGTCTGAAAATTAGACTGTTGGTAAACCTAGAGTGGCTTACAACATAAACGATTTTTTCAAAAAATCTTAATCAATGTATTTATATAAAAGAAAAACCGAAAAAACTAAAACCACTATTACAAATAATTTTTTTTTTTTTTTAAATTGTATGTATTACATTGTTATAGTTTTCGCTTTACTTTATTAGTATTTTTGTATGTTTTTTACAATTTTAATCATTTTTTCAGTTGAATAGTTAACATTTTTAAATAGATTAAAATGTTTTCTTTAGTTAAAATGTTAATGACATTTTACAAAAGTTACATTTTAATTTTTATATTTAATCATTTTTACCATCTCCAGTTTTGCATTGAATCATTTACTTGATAGTGATTTTATTACTTTCAGTTATAAAATTCCTGATGCTATAATATGCTCACTTCGTCTTAATACGTTTCATCCTTTCTATACACTGACCCCACATTACTGACTATTTTATCTTTAAACATTCTGTATAAAACAGGCATCAATATTACTGATTGACAATGACAAAAAAATCAAATTATCAAAAAATGAAAATCATATTTTTTTATAGAAATGGAAATGTTTGTTATTACCAATGTATGGCCAGAGGTATTTTATCGGGAATGGGACCTCAAGGATTTGGTTCTAAATCTGTGGAAGTCAGCGCTTGGGAAACACGACTAGAAGGTCCGCCATCAAAAGAATGCCTATGGATTATAGATCCAGAAAATATGCAAAATAATTCGACTGCCATGTAAATATATTAATATATTTTGAATGTTAATAGTTATTACAATTTAATAGAAACTCACTCGTATACATTTTTAGTGGCTCCTATGTAATTCAATTGACAATAGATAGTGACATAAATGTCCCATGTGGCATGAACAGTGTGTACGTTTATGATGGACTTCCTAATTTTGTTTCCATGTCAAGAACACATCCAGCCCACTCTCTTGGCGTGTTTTGTACTAGAGATTCACAATATCCTTTAACCATTGAAGGCATAACTGGTAAGAAGACTATAGTGTTACTGATAACTTTTATGTTAAATTTTACTATTTACACAAACTGTTAAATGTTAATCTAGGTGTTATGACGGTTTACTACAAACAGTCTGAACCAACTGAAGGATTTAATGCCACATATGTGGTGTTTAGTTGTCCAGAAAACTGTCCTTCAAATCGTGTTTGCATTGAAAACCGTTGCGCATGCCATGAAGGAAGTACTGGTGTTTTCTGTCAAGATTTGATCTGCCCAAATAATTGCAATCATGACAAAGGACATGGAATGTGTGATCATGTGAGAAGCCACTAAATAAAATACAATAATTAATTAAATTGGTTTAAATTACTTTTTTTTTATTTATAATTTTTGTTATAATGAATATTATGTATTTCTCTTTTAGGAGTACGGTCGATGTATCTGCGAGAGCAACTATGAAGGAGAAGATTGTTCGATATTAGTACCAGTGACTAATTATTTGCGACAACCTCTTATATTTACAGATCTGTTTAATTCTGCTCACGTATCGGAGAACCTGGACCATTTGCGCCAAACATTACCTCGTTTTGGCCATTCAGTTGTTGCGACCAGACGAGGTCAGCTGTGGCTGTTTGGAGGTTATTCATTGTCACATGGTCCTCTTAATGATATCCGTTTGTTCGATTCTAAAAATAATTCTTGGATGCAGGTAATTGAAACGTTAACAAACAATTTTGTCTAAAAAATATTTTATTGTCCTATGTTATATGTGCTGTAGGTCACTGTGGATGGTACTAATGATGCCCATATGCCTAATGGTAGATATTTTCATGCTGCCGAAATTGTGCATTCTAGAAGAGAAATATTCGTTTTTGGCGGACTTACACAAATTCAAACCACTTTTGGCAGGTCAATAAAATATTCAATGAAGATTTTATTTGATTTCTGGAAATTCAGTTTGAAAGATCAGCGATGGATCAGAATACAAGTAAATAATTTTAGAACGTTTGAATCGATTAAATACAATTTATATTTTATCCAAACTATAAATAATAACAGGTATTATTATTATAAGAATAAAGACATTCTAGTTAAATTATGTTAAAATATTTACAATTGTATAAACTAAACCTAAAATTTTTAAGAAGTCGTTTTGTAATTAAAATATTTGTCATGCATTAAGATTATAATTTATTAAACTATTTTAGACAAATAATGATCCACCCCCTCTGGCTGGACATACATTAACATTAAGATCAGTTGGGGACAAGGAAAGCCTTATATTAATAGGAGGATTTAGTCCTGATTACGGTTTCCTTGAAGATGTTTGGGAGTACGACCTTCAGTTAGAATCTTGGAAACAGTGTAAAATGAGAGGCTATGGACCAGCTGGTATGGATAATATTTGAAATAATAATAAATCTTTAGTATTTGATTTAGTAATCAATCATAATAATATAAAACACATCATTTTTTAAAGGAATTTATGGACATAGTGCGGTTTATCATGGACCAACTGATAGCTTATATGTATTTGGTGGTTACATATACTCTGTCAACCAAACTGTAATGACCGATAAATTATTTGTATTTAACTATGAACAACAAGTATGGTCAGTTTTGCCTAATTTTAAGGATTATAACCCTCCAAAAAATAGTTTGGTGAGTATATTTTTAAATCAGTGTAATATCTACAAGATATAAACTAGGTATTCAATTAACAACCTAAAACTAAAAAATTCATACATGGCGTACAAAAAAATGTGTTAAGAGGAATTAATAACTGTTGCATTTAATAAATATGTATATGATTAGTTTTGTTGATCATTATATAAAAGTTAATCCATCGTAGTCATTCAATATATCTTATGGTTTTAGCCAAGAGGACGATTTTTACATTCTGCTGTAACTACAGATGAATATATGTTTGTTTTCGGAGGCCGTACAGATCCACCCAGTACAAATGACACTCTTATAGCATACTCGTATGCGTGTAATCAATGGATACGCTTGCTAACACCAGGTAAAACCCAGTTTACTATTATTCATTATGAAAGTTTTTAAATTATCAGTTGTGATTTTCGGATTTTTCTAAATGGCTTAGATATATACATAATCGGTTTACCTCCACCTCTGACCCACGCTCACGCCATGACATTGGATATTGACACAAATTCAATGTATATTCTCGGGGGATTTGCCGGCGATATTCAATCACGTGTCACACGAATACAATTACCTTACGACTTATGTAATCTTTGGTCAGGAAAACGAGACAAATGCAGGTAATAATAATATGATTCCATTTTTAACAATTAAAATATTACAAATACAAATTACTCGACAAGTAGTTAAAATAGTTAAAAATATACAATATTATTTGAATATTTTAACAACATTTTGTGGCCAATGTTTGTAAAACATGAAATATTTGTCCAAAAAATGATTACAAAATATTAAAAACTGTTTTTAAAATATTGACATTTCGTTTTCTACTGGGATCATACTCGTTAAACGATTTTAAATAAAAACTATGAATTTAAATTAAAAATATGTTATAATTAAATAGTTCTTTTAAACTACATAATAATTTTTGTCTACATTACGAATAAAATTATTTATAACAATTTTCATTAATTGATTTCTTATTAGCTATTTAATTATTAGAATTTTGATTGTTAGCACTTAGCTGCTTGTGAGTTCACACTCTGTCAAAATCTTTAAGGCCGTGTTGTTAACAGTTGTTGGTCTCTTTATATAATTAGATATACAATTATTTTTTGTTGTTTAGATCATTCATTGGATGTTCGTTTTGCGAATTGATTGGAACAAATGTCAGTTACTGTTTTACTCATCTCGGTCCTGGTTACAACCCTTGCGTTTCGTCCAATGGTTCATCACGAACAAATAACGGTGTGGTTTGTAATGCAAATTGGATATGGAGCCGTGCATGTGAGCAATATACCTCTTGTACTGATTGTTTAGCTACTTGGCCAAACAGTTATTTAGAAAAAACAAACGTATGTATAATCAAATAATAGGTATATCCGTCTTGAATAAAGTTAATTATCATCATTTTTTTAGGTGTGTACGTGGTGTGGAAATTGTGGTGTGAAAGGAAAATGTGTCAAAGATCCTTTGGGTTGTGATAATCAATGTAATACAGTGACAAAAGTAGAAATGTGCCCTAATATTCAGTGTATGGCAACAGACTGTGAAAAGTGCCATCAACAAGACAATTGTTTGTGGTCTCGGTAAATATATGTTTACAAAAGTGTCAAATCACTGTGTGGATTATTGATTTATTTAATGTTTTCAGAAAAATAGGTAAATCTGAGTTTGGTACGCTTTTAACTGGAGAATCGTTATACGACTGGAGCTGTAACAGTCAAGATCTCAACCAACGATCAAATATAAAAATAAAAAATTCATCAATATGCCCAGATCGTTGTTCTGCCCACAAATCTTGTGAAACCTGTTTATCTTCTCAAGTAAAACAATTTGTTTCTAAGTCAATACATTGCATAATTAATTGTGATTATTTTGGCAGGGTGGCGAAGGAGGATGGCACGAGTGTCGATGGTCAATAACATTAAACGAATGCGTATCTCCGAGCTATCAACCATTGTATTGTGCTGGTGGAGTGTGTGGTCTTGTCTTGGGTGGTGGTAACGTTGATCGTTGTCCCCAGCCTTGTTCCAGTTACACTCAGTGTTCAACTTGTCTGCGCCATACACATTGTGGCTGGTGTGCGTTAAGTCAATCCAACATAACAGGACTGGTGCGTTTCAGTTATTTGTTTAAATTGTACCAATAATAAAATCAAATAACACTTTTTTATAATTTATAATAGGGAATATGCACAGAAGGCTACATGTCCAGTCCAGCTTCAGGACCTAATCATTCGTGTCAAGAATTACTTAATCAAATGCATAATGAACCTGCCATGGCCCCTTATCGGAGTTTAGAATTTCAAGATTTTGATATTCGTGTAGATGATAGACTGTCAACTTCCACGGATGTAGTGTTGTTGGATCTCGATACAAATCCAAATGGTTCAGTAGCGTGGTATTATATATCGTGTCCACCCGAGAATGAGTGTGAAAACGGCCATCATAGTTGTGACAAAGAAAGTGAAGAATGTGTGGATCAGGCCGAAGGGTTTCGTTGTGTTTGTGGCAAAGGTTATCAATCGGATATCAACTCTCAGTGTGTACCAATATGTTCTCAAGGTATTATTGATTATAATAAATAAATAAATAAAACAATTTGCTAATCTCAATTTTTCTCTATTTAAATGTAGGTTGTGTAAGAGGCGAATGTGTAAAACCAGATGTCTGCCAGTGTGGCTTTGGTTATGTCGGTTCTAATTGTACTATACAGTGTGAATGCAATGGACATTCCAACTGTGCTGGTCCTGACCGTCTCACTGAATGTTTGAGCTGCCAAAACAACACCCAAGGACCACAATGCCAACGATGTAAACCGTTGTACGTAGGAAATCCAATTGATCATGGCCAATGTGTACCGTGTTCAGAATATTGTAATGGACACTCTCGAGTTTGTGTAGAAAAAATTGAATCGGATCCATTTGATTCAATGGGTTATATTAACAATCAGAACAACGGTTTAATACAAAATGATGGGCCACTAGCTGATGCATATTGTATTAACTGCATGGATAACACAACAGGTCCTAGGTGTTCAGGTTGTCTGCTGGGTCATTTTAGAGGATCGTCTGATGAACGAGATCCGTGTAGGTAAGTAAAAACAATTCAGTATTATATTTCACGTAAATTGGTCAGTATTAAAAGTAAAGGATATTTTTTAATTGAAATTCTTATTCCTAAGTTTAAATGGGTTTTTTATATTGCATTTATTTTAGACCTTGTGAATGTCACGGACATGGAAGCACTTGTGATCCAGTTACCGGTGAAAAGTGTGATTGTCAAAACAATACCGAAAGTGATACTAACTGTCAATCCAGTGGAGTAGCACATCATCGAACGATTAAAAACAATGTGCAATTATGCTGGATGCATCAGTGTTCCAAGTGTAAAGACTCATACATGGGAACACCAACAGATGGCCATCAATGCTATAAGCAGATGAACGTAGACTTCCGATTTTGTCTTGATGCAAAACTGCTCGAAGAATGCAAAATGAAACCTAATCCTCTTTACCCTGGGCAAACGGTATTTTTATTTTCATTTTTATTTTATTATTTAGTTGTATAAATGTATCACCAAATCAGTACTTATTTTATATTAATTGCTAATAGCTTATAATATAATATAAATTGGTTTTAGTCATTCTTTGTTGTCCAACCTCGGTTTATGAATGTTGACATACGAATTACTGTTGATATAACACAAGGAGCTGTTGATTTTTTCTTGACATCACATGAAGATATATTTATAATTACTAAAAATACAAGTTTACATAAAAATGTTTTTGACTTTGACCCAAGGTAATAGAATATTTCATATGTTACAATGTAGATTTCTATAGTAATTTTTAAAGACTTGTTTCTTAATTATCGTAACTAATAAATAATCAAATGTTTTTAGATTTGAATGGTTAAGTGAAATGGAAACTTTCGAAAGAATTAATGAAGAAGGATATAACTCATCAAAAAATTCAAAACATTTATTTACATATCAAGAACATAAAACTAAAGGCCTATCCACATACGTAACAATGAAAAAGAGCATTTCATTGTTGATTGTTAAAAACGTTAACAACAGGTAAATATAATTGTTTTTTTCCATGTGGTTTCACATGATTAATTGATTTTTCTTTCGTCAGGTTAATCATTACACTTCCACATGACAAGCACGATTTATCATCTACCAGATATTATATAGCCTTGTTAGCTATCTCGTCGCTCCCAGTGCAAGCGGCTCATGTTGTGCCCGTCCCGACGTATGGAACAGTATTTTTTAGACAAGACCAACTTCATATTGATCTCTTTGTATTTTTTTCGGTATTTTTCTCGTGTTTCTTTTTGTTCCTTGCCGTTTGCGTTGTCGGATGGAAAGCTAAACAGGTAAAATATGTCTACCCTATTGTTTTTAGTAAATATGTTTACATTGTTTGTTCATATCATTTTACAATTTACACTAATCAACATTTACTCATTACAGGCAGCCGATTTGCGAAGAGCTCGCAGGCAACAAGTTGTGGAAATGTTGCACATGGCTAAAAGACCATTTGCCTTTGTAGCTGTTCTTTTTAACGCAGCCCAACAACCAGACGCCAGTCAGTCGACCAGATTAGGTGATATCAGACCTTTGGCCATTGAGCCTACAAGTAATTCCAATGCAGCGGTAACTACTTTGCTGATTAAACTACCGGATCGGGGACAATCGGCTGGTACCAGATTAGCGCTCGGCTCTACACTTGTACTGAATATGCTTAATCAGAGAGGATATTATTCATCAAACGCAAATAGACATAATAGCGGTGGTCCAAGACATAGAAGGAACGCCCAACAGTGATCGACTATTGTTATGATAAGAGTATTAAATCTATTATAAGACTTTATCAGTATTATTTAATTTTATTTAACTGAACCAAATGTGGAGCATAACGATTGTGTCATTGATTATTTAACAACACTTAATTTTCTAATCAAGTCGATCAAAATAACTTAATATTAAGATGTTTTATCAATAACAAAAACGATAATAAAGTGATTTGTACTTAGCATATTGATTATAACGTCAGTGAATTACTACTCGAGCACAAAGTTGGTGCTGATCAACGACCAAATGTATTTATTTATTATAATATTGACTTTTCAAATTTTATTAATTTGCAATAGTTTTTGTTTTGTGATAATTTAGTTTAAATTTAACAACTGTTACCACTCGCCTATCACCTTCCCCATATTAATATGACTTATAGTGTACTTAATCCTATTATATGTTAAAAATTATAATTTAAATAACTTTTTTCTCAAAAGCTTTATTTTGAAATTAAAATTTTCATTTAAAACTAAATCTCTTGTCCTCGGGAGCCAAAATGAATCTGAATAACTTCTCAATAAGAATATATAACATATTTTAAATATATACTTATAAGTATATATTATATACTTACATATTATTAAAATTATTATTCTTTTTCTTTTTTTATTGATCTCTCTTTGTAGTGGGTTTAATAGTATAAAATTGTTGTCTATAAAGAATCTAAATTGTATGTAACTAGTTCGATATAAAATAATAGTTGATATTTTATCTTATGTCGAGTGTGTCATAAACATACTCATTTCTTAATAATTTTAAATCATTCCTAAACAATATTAAATAACAAGGAACTACATATTCATTTAAGACAATATATTTATTATTTTATATGATTAGATTTTTTTCAAACGAATCCCCCAAAGATTAATTATGATTTTATTTGTGATAGTTATTTCTAAAAGACAATAGATTAATTTATTTGACTTTTAAGACAATCTATCTTAAGTGTATATTTTATTTTGATTAGTATAAAATAATCATATGTAGTCATGTATATTTCAATAGTGTATGACCTATGTTTTTCTATACTGGCAAATAAGATTATTGTATGAGAATATAAAATAAGTAAAATACAAAATACTCATTCAGAATTAGTAATATTTGACATATACAATATAAGGGTCATCAAAAATTACCTCAAATGTATTAATAATAAAATCACAGTTTTGTAGTACAACGTGTAAATATGTAAAAATTATGTACTTATGACATCCTATTTAATTTTGTCACAGAATCTATTATTTTTTAGCTATAAATAGGCTTATATAGGTTTAAAATAATTTTTAAACATTGTACTTAGTAGTAGCTTTACGTATAAGTCAAATTGTATTAAACAATTTTTTTGTCACTATGTATAGTTTTTTCTAATGCTATTTGAAAACGCTTACTTAACACAATATAAATTGTATAATATCATCTCATTATTCTGCTTAGTAATTATTTTAAATATTATACTTCATATTCAAATTTATGTTTGGTTTTCTCCTACTTCTATAATTTTAAAAGGCATTTAACTAGTACGTAAGTTTAATTTTCTTTAGTAATATTGATTAAAAGTTTTGTTTACAATTTTTTTAACAGTAAAAAGTATTTGATGTTGTATTCAAATGTTTTTTTTTTTTTGTTTGTGTTTTAATAAAATCCGTTTTGTTAATTAGTTATGTTTTTTTTTTAAATTATTATTTTTTTTTGTAGTATTATATTATTTTGGGTCTAACAACGCTAATAGTTATAATGTGAAATACCTAAGTATGATAAAAATTTCAGAATTTTAAAACTGGTCGAAATCGATTTTTCATCAAAAATACCTATATTTTAGGGGTAAATATGAGTAATAATTATTTCAAAAAAATTATATTGGTCTTATATTAGACCAAAAGAAGTTTATAAAAAAAGTTTCGAAAAATGTTGAGGAGGTCAGGTCGATGGCCGCGTTTGATTCAGAATGCCCAGTATATATATATACTTTTGATCCTCAAAAAGTCGATTTTCAAATATTAGACTCAACGCCCTCTAAAAAGTTTCAGAGTACAATAAAAATAAGATTTCAAAAAAAATATATGTAATATTTACATTCTTCTGATAACTTTAATGTACCAAAAACACCTATTTTTCACTAGCAATTTTGACAGGTGTGAACTTTTGGGTAAGTTGTACGTGTTCTGCAGACTGTAAGCTATAAAAACAATCAAAACTTCAGCTCAAATTAAGGAGTAGGAGAGAAGTTATGCATTGATTTATGCATAAGTGTCGATCCTATGTAAATCCCATTTAAACTTCAACCCTTGTGGGGTACGGGCTAAAATTAAAGTTTTTTTTAATATTTTTTTCGTTTACAAAAAATTATTATTTTTTATTAAATAAGTAACTACAAAATGAATTACTTATTAATTAAAATGCTTTACCAACATAATATTACCATATGTTTAGATGGCATTTTTTATGAAACCGGGCGCTTATGGTTTTTTTCGTAGAGTTTAAAATCAAATTTAAAACTGAACGAGTATAAGCCAACAATATATTTAAATTAAATAATTCGATGTACACAGGCTATGAATTAATAATTATTTATAATTTCTTTGTGATGAAATTTAAATTTAAAACACATACTTTATACTATTACATTGATTCAATTAAAGCGTCAGTGCAAATATAAAATTAAAAAAATATGTAATAATGTCCGCGGTCAACACCAGACGGCCGTTAGGTTAGATAAGAATCGAATGGTTCAATTGTAGTTCTAAAAGTAGGAAACCAAACTTTTATTTATTAAGAAAACCACAATAAACCTAAAAACACATATTGAAGTATTGCATTGATAAGGATGGTGAATTTTTTCCCAATTTCAAAAGTTTAGATAAAGCGTTTTTCTTGAGTTTTGTTCTATTGTAGTCTTTAACCGAGTTACTGTAAAATTCTATTTCGCCATTGGTGTATGGTTTATATACCCATAGAACTTAAAAGGTATGAGATTATATACCTAATAAGAGATTTTCTTGTAAGTTGTAATAAACCCGGCTAGCCCTAATGCCGGGCGAAAGACCAAAGTAGTTGTATGATTTTTGACAATCTGTTAACGTTGTTTGATGGTATTTTGATTTATATATTATTTTATAACAGGGTAGGTTGTGTACTTTTTTGATTTCAATATTAGGTCATATCTATTTGTATATATTAAATCATTGACGGAAATGAGCGGAACAGATGAAAATTTAACGAGTCTTTGGACATAGTTATGAAAAAAATCCCGTCGTCAAAGTCAACAATATCTGCTGGCCAATAATAACCTGGCGAATTTGTTGACCAGTAGGTACTACGTCTAGCGGTTTAGTTATTTGTTAGCAATCGACTGACTGAAGTTCACCTGTGAGGCCACGACAATCCGCAACAAAACGCCAACGCCGTTTACAAGTTTGTTTGTACTTAGCGGTTTTTCGTTTTGACCTATCACTTTCAAAGAGTCCGAGCCGTCGACCCGAAGAAAAAACGCCTTCCATTAACCAATAAAATGTACAAGTGCGCTATCGTATCCGTGCTGGCCGCCGTCGCCGTGTTAATCACTTTCGCTCCCGGTAAGTATATAATAATCAAATATCCAGCAACAGTCATGAAGTATAAATCGCGATAACAATCCGCACATTTATTCGCACAGTCAGTGACGGGTTGACCTGCTACAAGTGTAGCTGGACAGAACCGGATTGCGCAGACGACAAGATAACAGACGCGACGCCCACCGAGGAGTGCGGCAAAAATCCCTCAAACGACACTACTACTGTTGCACCCGGCCCAGATGTAACAACAGTAGCACCAGGATCTTTGAGGCACAAGAGATGGACCGTAGCTCACACAGCGACCAATTTGAAACGGGCGGTGCTCGAAGATAAAACTTACTTTTGCTTCAAAGTGACCGTCGACAGTGAGTTCATACACAATATATTATAGACCTAATACTGGCTTCACTTTACACCGTTATATGCTGTACGCAGAGTCCGTGGAGCGCGGATGCAAGGAAACGGACAGTAAAGACGATTGCGTGGACAAGGTCAAGTATCCGGACGCCAAGGGGGAAGGCTGCACGACATGCACCACGGACAAGTGCAACGGCAAGAGCGGAGTGGCTGCAGTCGCCCCGGCCGCCGGACTGGCCCTCATGTTTGCGATGACTGCCTTCAAAACCGCCTACCAGCTTTGAAGTTAATTTACCGAAGAATAAATAGCATTGTCCGAAATTGGAAAACGTTCTATAATATGATACTATAAATATATATCTTACATACGTAACGCCGTGTACGCATTATTCATTACTTAATTGTAATTAACACAAACCTACAACACGAAGCGAACCAGCCCGGGACATACGACATACGGGCTCGGCCTCAAAACTATAACCAGCCACAGAAAGTCCCCTAAAATAACAATTTTACAGGATAGCAAAGGGTAAAAACATATTTACGGTTTCCATAACGTTTAAGCAATTATAATTTGTTGGTGGTGGCACACAGTGTATCAAACAAACATTATTCTTAGACTGTGATTTATGCTATTATATTAGACTAACGATGACTTTTTAAACTGTATTAACGATATCTTATCGGGCCAATAAGTTCAAAAAGTTAACCCCGTCTCTTTCAAAATCGAGAAGAACACCCAACAAAATTTATATATTTTTCAACTTAAAATTGCAGCGTTCTATATATATATATTTTTTAATATTTCAATTAGTTCTACGTTGTCTATTAGACCAGCCTAACACGCTACCGCCCTGGCTGAGAGGGAGCGACAAAAACTACCGGTGTTTGTCCCTTCTTAAAAAATTAGTCCAAGGATAAAAAAAAAATGTCCATGCGGCGCAAGTAAAATTTTGTGAGACCGCCCATCGCGAGGAACCGATCTTTTGTTAATATCAATTTATTTTTTGAATAAATTATGTCGGGCTGGGAGGGAAAGCAAAGCAAAAGCGCCCTATCTCAGTCTGGACGATATCGTGATAAAATAAAAAACAACACTACCGCCCCAAATTCTAGACCCAATTGTACTAAATCTAAAAGCGCTGTTAGACAGTGCACATCTTTAAACAATTGACAGGTACGCATTGATATACCCAAGGTCGCGGTAGGCTTTAGCACAAATTGTTCTTATTTAGATATTAATCGTTAAATCGGTAGATAAGATGACATCCAAATTATATAAA